CTGTGAACACCTCGCCTTCTGTTTGAAGAGGCTCATCGGCTGTAGGCTGTGGCTTAGCTACACCGTACACGCATGGTGGTGGCAGCCTGACATCTGGTGCTGGCCACCATGCAGCGGCCTGGGCGGCGGGCGGACCTGGCTGGTCGGGAAAGGACCCTGACTGGTGCGAAGGCACCGGTACCGGTAGCTCATGTGTCAGTGGACTCATGTGGTAAAATCGACAGTGGGCACAGCTGGCCGGAAGAGCCAACCGCCCTCTCCCAGCTGGTATGACCGGGAGGCTGCCTGTGGCTGGCTGGCCGGGACGAAACTCGATGTGCCTGGGTGGCAGAGGAGGTCATGGGCCTATGCTTCCGAAAAACCGTGATCCATGGCGCGCCGCACGAGCGGCAATCTCGGTAGAGGTCTCAAGAAACCATCGGTTACGTCCCAGCGATATCTTCGCCAAGGCCCGAGGCTGCAGCTGGCACCAGCAGCGAACAGCGCTACCGTAGAGTCAGATAGGACGTAATCTTACAGATGTTGTAGGGAGAAAGGAGCGAGGAGGCTAGGTCCTACACATACCGTAGCACCTGCTAGTGGTGGTCTTCGTGGACAGGCCAAAGCCCCTGTCCCCTGTACCATGTATCTGTAAACATAGATTTTGTGCTATGAGAATATCTATTTTGAACGGTGTGTTGGGGCCAGCATATCCAAGCTAGGCAGTACAGGATGAGCTTGTAGTAGTGGACGTTGCTAGTCATCGCCTAACAAGTGACTTCCGGAGCAGCGCGGCCAGCAGCATGGCAGCTCCACGGCGGTCAGTCAAGACCGGCAAAGATCGCACGGTGTATGCCGACCTGTCGGTTGAGGAGTGCCGGGTGCGCGCCATTGCGGAGATTGTGAACGGCCTGATAGCGTGCAGCCGCGAGAAAAAGGACGTGAACCTGAACGTGCTCAAAGCGGAGAAGTCGCGCAAGTATGGACTCACCAAGAGCCCGAAGCTGGTGGAGATCATCGCTGCCGTCCCTGAGGAGCACCGCGCCGACCTCATCCCGCGCCTGCGCGCCAAGCCCATCCGCACCGCATCCGGCATTGCTGTGGTGGCTGTCATGTCCAAGCCGCATCGCTGCCCCCACATCGCCACCACCGGTAACATCTGTGTCTACTGCCCCGGGGGGCCTGACTCCGACTTTGAGTACAGCACGCAGTCCTACACGGGATATGAGCCCACCAGCATGCGGGCGATCCGCGCAAGGTACAACCCATACGCGCAGGTGAGGCCGTAAGGGCATGATCTGTAGTGGGTTCTGCTCGCTGGCGGTCGTCATGCATTCCCCTCCTTTCTTCCTTCATACATCCAAGGCAGTCCATGCCAAAAGGTCATTTGACTTAAGCTCGGCAGGAGGAGAAGTTGCTACTCTATGCATCCTAGGAAGAGCCTCGATGTAACATATTGTGTTGCTTTTGAAAGCAATTGAAAGCGATTGGCTGGCGCCAGTTCCTGCCTTGTACAAACGCACGCGCATGCCCATTGACTGGTTCCTCTTGGGATGTGCGGCACAGTCGCGGGGCCGTGTGGACCAGCTGCGGCGGCTGGGCCACAGTGTGGACAAGGTGGAGTTCATCCTCATGGGCGGCACCTTCATGTCGCTGCCCGCCGACTACCGCGACTACTTCATCCGCAACCTGCACGATTCCCTCTCGGGCCACACCTCGCGTGATGTCGACGAAGCCGTCAGGCAAGCCCGTCCAGGCTTAGTGTCTGTGTTTGGTTTGAGTGGCTGTGAGGGGGATGGTGTGAGTCGTTTGTCAAGGTCGAGTTGGCCCACGTGCCATTTCCTGCTCGGATTGATGGCAGCCCCTCACATCATTGTGAGGATTGTTGTTCTGCAAGGTTCCAAACATTATCGAGTCCCCTCCCCAGACCCTGGTTCCGGGCATTTTCCAACCATGTTGCCGCTGCTACACGTGCAGGTACAGCGAGCAGTCGGCCACCAAGTGCATTGGGCTGACCATTGAGACGCGGCCCGACTACTGCCTGGCCCCCCACCTGCGCCAGATGCTGACCTACGGCTGCACGCGCCTCGAGATTGGGGTGCAAAGCACATATGAGGACGTGGCGCGGGACACCAACCGCGGGCACACCGTGGCCGCCGTCGCCGACTGTTTCTGCCTTGCTAAGGACGCGGGCTTCAAGGTGCGGCACGTCCGGGGAGACTCTCTTCGCTAGCAGGTCACCACACGACCAAAGCGAAAAGCTTTTAGAAGACATAGGATGCATGGTCGTTCCCGTTACCTGGCCGAGTAAAGATCGGGGGCTTGATTTCCAATGAATAAGTCGTTGGGCGTCTAGGCACCTTCTGCGATGTTTTGTCAATGGCTTCACTGGCCTCGGTTGTTGTTTTGGTTCGCCAGCACCGTACTTTTGTGGCAAGACCGTTTTCTTCGCAATCAAGGGGTTGTATCTTTCGCCGACAAGCTGTTCGAAAATGTTCCGTCCTTTCAAGAGGTGACACTACGTCGAAAAATTGTTACTGCTTAAAATCACTTTCGTTGTGCTGCGCCAGGTGGTGGCCCACATGATGCCGGACCTGCCCAACGTGGGCATGGAGCGCGACATTGAGAGCTTCCGCGAGTTCTTTGAGAACCCGGACTTCCGCGCGGACGGCCTCAAGGTGTACCCCACCCTCGTCATCCGCGGCACCGGCCTCTACGAGCTCTGGAAGACCGGCAGGTGCGCTGTTGCAGCTGCTGGGCCGGAGAGATCTAACGGCGTTGGTGCCTTTGTTGTGTGCCACTGCTGCCGCCTTGTGCAAAAGTGTTTGTGAAATCAGAAGTACAGGACATTTCATCTTTGTGGATTTCAGCGCTTCTGACGCAAGCAGCCACTGACCTTAAACTGTGCTCGTTATCTTCGTGTATCCTCTGTATCTTGAGCATTCGGATAGATTTCAAAACCTTCAGTCCTTTGCTCGTTGATTTCGTCAAATTGACTTTCAAGTGAGTCAAGTTGAAGTGTGACCTTGTGCACGTGAAGAGGCGCCGAACGCAGAGAGCCCCGGAACTGTCTCTATCCATTCCACGTTCACGCCGCCCGTCCTCCTTCCTTGCGCGCAGGTACCGCAACTACCCCCCCGAGCAGCTGGTGGACCTGGTGGCGCGCCTGCTGGCGTTCGTGCCCCCCTGGACGCGCGTGTACCGCATTCAGCGCGACATCCCCATGCCGCTCGTTACCAGCGGCGTCGAGAAGGGCAACCTGCGTGAGCTCGCGCTGCAACGCATGGCCGACCTTGGCACGCGCTGCCGCGACGTCAGGACCAGGGAGGCGGGCATCCAGGTACGCACCGTGGCGGCGGTGATGACGGCCCGACGATTATTTCCAAGGCTTCAGGATGTGCTGGCGTTCAGTCCCCGTTCTGGGCAAGGTCATGCAGCAGCGAGATAACCCACGGGCCACAAGAGTTTTCAAGCTCCCGAGATTTTTCACCTGAGTTGACGCAGCAGAAACAGAAGGAGCCTGCCCTATCGAGGCGTCATAGTTTCCCCTGACCACGGTCTGCTCACCCCTGCAGGACATTCACCACCGGGTGCGGCCGGAAGAGGTGGAGCTGGTGCGGCGCGACTACGCGGCCAGTGGCGGATGGGAGACCTTCCTCGCATATGAGGACGTGAAGCAGGTGCGCCGCTGGTCTGTCCAAAAGCGCAGATTGGCGGCTGTTGATAGTGATTCAGCTCAACGGGGGCTGCCCGTGTTGGTCGCGTTTGGATCCGGATCGTGTAATGTGCAGGTCCATTCGTGTGAAAGAAGTTCTTTTGATTTGCATGCCTCGATACTCTGTGGCGGTGTGCGCTTACTGGGCCGTGCCCGGGGATTGCGCAGGACATTCTGGTGGGCCTGCTGCGCCTGCGGCGGTGTGGCCGCAGTGTGAGCTGCCCCGAGCTGCGCGGGCGGTGCTCCATCGTGCGCGAGCTGCACGTGTACGGGACCGCCGTCTCCATCCACGGCCGAGACGTCGACAAATTCCAGCACCAGGTGAGAACTTGCCCGCTCCGACGGCCGCAGGCGAATGTCTCTGCGTGCTGTCCCGAAATCTAGGTTGTTGGAGAAAGATTTTGTTCGAAAGCCGGGCCTTCGGATGAGATATTGTTGTCAAACACCCACGTGCCCGTTGATTCAACAGCCTCGTGAAGCCTCCTCAAGTTTGCTCGCATCTGGTGATGTGTCCTTTCCAGCTTGCCCTTGTTTCGGGCATGGTTTTGAAAGAGTGGCAAGACTAAGCTGAAGCCGCTTTTGCAGGGCTACGGAACTCTGCTGATGCAAGAAGCTGAGCGGATAGCGACACGGGAGCATAGGTCCACGAAATTGGCGGTCATTTCGGGCGTCGGCACGCGGCATTACTATAGAAGGCTGGGGTATGAGCTCGAAGGGCCATACATGGTGAAAATGCTGAAATCAGGGTCAGGGCGGACTTGAAAGCTCAGTGATGGTTGCCCGTCTCTTTGCGTCTGGTTCAGCTTAACGGGCATCCCTATGTACATAGCTAGCTTCTTCCAGATCAGACCAATGAGAAGTTTCTACACCGCACGCATGCAAGCACAGCCATCCTATAATGCTATAGCAGGCGGCTAGCTCTACGCTGTCATTGCGGAGACTTATATCTTTAGTATTGTAAGCGGCCAGGCCTGTGATAAGCTTGAGCTTGGCTGGGCAATGTATACCTAATTCGTATATCCAGCGCATTTACACCACATTCTTGCACAGTGCCGTATCTGCTGAAGTGTTTCCCAGGAATGAACAAGCTGAATGCATGATGACGACGTCGCACATATGCGATTGCGACCATGTTGTGGCGGCAAGTTAGTATAAACGCTGATCGACGCTAGCCGCCGCCAATACTCGAAGGCTGAAGACATCGCATTGCTAATGTTAAAGCGCACAGGTCCACATTGCCGAAATCTTCTAAGCGCAGTTGCATATGCCAAACATGAGATCCGCACATTTGCAAACAAACTGCGCGCGGCGCCATGGTGAGCAAACGGCCCACTGAGACCGTTCGGTACTTCAACGTCCACTATCATGCTCAGCTCAGCTTCTTTAAGTACATATGAGCAGGTCGTTGTGCGGATTTTCAAGCGCGCACGGATCTTCACGTCCGTCCAGGAATCACGAATTGCAGATGTCCTCAGAGCCTAGGCGTAAAGGTCCCTTAGGATACTTTCCGCCCTAGGCCATCCGCTGTCTGCTCTTCAACCGAAGACCGCCTGGCAGCACGACGTCTCCTAAGTTCAACAGTATGACGAAGTATCCACTTACACAGCGCTAAGAAGCCGAGACTCGAGACGTACTCTTCTGATGAATTCCCTTCTGTACATAGATACGAACACAGCTCATTGGTCTCAGTCCTCCAAGGTCCTGCAGATTCAACAGGTTGAAACATGAGAGAAATATGAGAGTCGAATCAATTACTCGAGCCAAGGTCTGCCATACTGCTTACATCACCCAAACGCGAGCGGAACATGGACACGAATTAACTCGCAGAACACTATCAGGCTTGCACTTGCAGGAAGAACTGGGACCAGTTGCGGTGTTCGGCAAGTTGTTGCTGCCTTCGATTGGTTCGCCACATAAAGCCAGATCATGCACGAACCTGGTAGGTATGGCCCGATCCCCCCTATTGATTCCACTCTTGCGCCCCGCCCAGCTGCGTGCCCTCGTCCACCACGTTGGCTTGCGCGGCCAGCTCCGGGTTAGCCCACACGTCCCACCCCATCAGCGTGGGCAGCGAGTACTGCACAACGCACACGGGTCAGGCAGACGCAGCAGACGGGCGTCGACGGGTGTGCTGAGTCAGCGAGGCTGAGGCGGGCAAAAGAAAGAGCAGCCACCCAGAAGCATGCATGCGTCAATGCAACTCGCTTGAGATGGTGAGAACTGCTGGGCATTGATCTGACCTTATAAGTGTTCGTTATATCCACGGGAAAAAGACAGCCTACATCTCAGGCCTTCACCAGCTCCGTACCCCACCAACGATCGTGATTGAAGCATGGCCTAGTCGCGTATGACTGACAGTCTAGCACAAAGAATCGGTGCGTACCTGAATGAGCGTCTTAAGCACGGCCATCTCAGCGAACGACACGGGGAGGGTGAGGTTGACGGGTTGGCTGGCACCCGTCACATCTGGGAACGTCCAAAGCATCGGCTTCACGCTTCTGGCCTCGTTGACGAGCAGCTAGCCCAGCCGGATACTTCCGAGCCTTCCTAGCGATTGAGGATTCCCATCCAGTGTCCTGGTTGAAGCTGCAAGTACACATGCCCTGCAATTCTTGGAAAAGCACGGCATATGCTTGAAGTAAGGCCACCAGTTGTCAGCACTTACTGAGAGCGACGAAGTAGGAGTCGTTGTTCTGAGACGTCTGGACCACCAGCTTTTTCCGGACCTTGCCCTCCTGGCCCCTGCAGTCGCAGGAAAAGGGGTGGGCCGTCGAGCAATTCAGCAATTCGGAATTCAGTGCGACTGCAATTCATACCGGTCAAAGGGCAATACTCCGTAGGGGTTGATGCATCTTGGCGGGTCTGTTGCTCAGCAAGGAGTGGTGTAGCAGGGCTTCCGTCCTGTGCTATGACCCGTCGCAGGATGACCAGTCGTTCCCAACGTTTTCAGATCTGACTGCATGCCAACACCCGTGTCCGCTTTGGGATGAAGGGTCCTTGCAGCTTACTGCTGTCCTTTAAAGGGGTCGTGGAAGAAGTCGAGAGGCTTCATGCCCGGGTGAAGGTCGAGCAGCGCACCACACTCCAGGACAGACAAAGCGAACGTCTGCAGAGCAGCCGAGGGGAAGCTCAGTCCGGTTTGAGGAGCATACAGACACTGTCACATGCATCCCACCAGAATCTCTCAGAACCTCTTCAGAATCTCTTTTCTTCTTATTCACAATTCAAGTTCACCATTCTTTTGAAACAGCTGTCTGCAGACGTAACACGAGGAGTGTAGCCTTGGGTGGTTGCCCCGGCCTCACCTGTTTCTTGCTCCAGTCGTAACTGCGGGCACTGACGATGGGCGCAAACTCCAGCAGGATGGCTCCATCCCGATCCACTGACAGATTCCCGTTCTGCATAGACAGCCACTGTGAGTTATCGGAACATGAGGCCTGGTCGAGGGCAATTTGCCACGAATGATGTGGTTCTGGGCTTGCTGGGGCAGTCTCTTTCTAGACCTTTCCTAAAAGCATAACTCAGAAACCTTGACTTCCTCGTTTGATCAGACTCTGTGGAGAAAGGCGCACCTTGTTGACGAAGGTGGGTTTCATTGGGACCACTCCCATGGCCGCTTTTCCTTTGTAGATTGTGTGGCTGAGAAACACCCGCTTTTGGGAGGGGGATTGCGAGTTGGATTGCGCGGGGAAGGAGTCTGCATATTGGGGTGCTGCAGAAAAGCATAGGGCGTCAGTGGTTGTTATCTTGACAAGACAAGACAAGTGATGACTGCTCCCTTCCTGCCAACACGAAATTAGAATAGAGAAGCTGGCGGGGCTTGCAGAATCTCTGATCATGCCCGATGCACTCACTTTTGGCCTTGGGCAGATGTCGGGGGGCTACAGACTTCAAAGAGTATATCAACAAGCCCAAACAGCCGTACATCACCTCTAAATCAGTCTAGTACGGTGAGATGGAAATAGATGTGCCCTCACCAGATTGGTGCATACACCTCGTTGCCTGATTCTGGTGTCCATTGTGGCGGCCAGCTATTAGACTATCAAGGCTATCGAAGAAGCGGACAGAGGGGAATGTTGGCGCGCCATGCAAGAAGCTGCAAGCCAAGCAAGTTGATTGAGGCCACCGCCTTCTGAAAAAGACTGGTTGGACAGCACTGTGGTGAAACGCTGTACTTGTAATATCATGGAGCATGACTTTGTTCTAAGATCAGTGAGCCCACAATTGCACCGAGTACAGGTACGAAGGTCTGTGTCCCTTGTGCTGCAATTTTGAGTACCTTACAGACCTCAGTTGACACTGCTGCGCAAAGCAGATATGATGCAAAGATGTTCGTATTTGACGTTAGTACCACTCTGTGTTGCTTGCACTGAAGCACACAAAAACTCACCAAACACATTTAGCCCATTTTTGGAAGCTTTTTATGTTTTGATCATGTAGGTTGCAGCCCTCCATCAAAGAACAAGACTCCGGTGGCGTGAGGTGGAGGAATGGTGCTTGAAAGGTTTTGCAGCAGGCATAGATTGTCAATGATACTAAAAGTATGCACCCACTTAAAAAGTCCCTGCACATACTCCAAAGAGTCTTACCTTTCATTGGAGCATATCACTTACCTCTTGGTTGGAAGAACGAAGTTCTGTTTTTGTCTCAAAGATGTAGCTGCCAATTGCAGCGCTGGCCGGGTTTGTGCCAGATTAGCCAAGGTCTGCATCATAGCTGCGAAGGATCAAATGCATCTGTACCCGCCTGCCTGCCCGCGAAGCTGCTCAGCTGCCTTCGCGAAGGTGAAGGACCTCTGATGCCAAAGCAAAGCTGGACTCCGTCGCTCCACCGTCTTCAGAAGTAAAACAGTGACTACTGTAGTCCAGACTCCATGCAGCTGCTTCAGCAGAGGGCAGGGGATGTGTAGCGGCGCGGCCGCTCCCCCGAGGCCCACAATGCACTGCGCGGCGCTCCCGCGGCACCCAGGTTTGCACCCAGGGAATCTGTTCAGGGTTTTGACTGCGGATCCTACCGCCGCCAGTATAGGTATTCCGTACGACCAGAGTGACTTGGGATCTTCCACGCTGAGTGACGTAAGCCTGAGCCTGAGGCTGCAGGCGCAGTCCAGTGCCCACATGGACTTGGTCAATGGAGGCAATCATGCATGGCCTGAGGCTGCATTCTTTAGCTGCTAGCAGCTGCTGCGGCCTGCCTGCTGCCTCGCATGATGAGGTAGGGTTAGGTAATACGGTAGCTCTCATGAAGAAGGCACCGGCCAAACAAGGAAGTAGGTACCACCGAATTGCGTTCATGTCGGCGGGGCGCCCTGTCGAGGCTGGCTGGGAAGGACACCGTATTGCTATGCCTTGGTGAAGGCAATTCGCAGGGCCAGCAGAGGGCCAGCAGCCTGCCCTGGTGGACGCCATTGCGGGCCCGCTGTGGGCAGAGGAGTCAAAGTAGGAAGCAAAGAGCCACGTACAGATCATAGTTGAAGCAATCTGCAGCTCCTACTCCATTGTCAGCGGCCATCTGGTGGCGCGTCCCTCCGCCGAAGTTTTTGGAGATCATTTCCACGTAGTGTGATCAGTGTGGCTAATTCTCTCTGAGGACTGGCTGACAGCATTTGACCATTGATGGACGTTGTGACCGACCCTGTGCTCAGCCGGCGGCGCCAGGCCCGCCTTGCCCGGAGGCGTCAGGCAGCAACCTGGGGTTCATGGCCCGGAGACTCTGGGGAGTATTGGCTTATCAATCCACACACCCATGGGGCTTCGACAAGGCAATTCCACAGGAAGAATAAAGCCAGCAGAGAGGAAGCTCTGGAAAAGGTGCCCAGGAGACAGCGGGACCAGCTGTCTCGCAGCACATCAGAGCAGGAATGTTTGGGAGCTGCGGCCAAAGGGGGAGTGTCTGCTGGCAACAGCAAAGAGCCTGATTTGACAAGACAGCAGCAAGAGTCACACAATGCTAGCTTGCCAGGAGAGGGGTTGTCCAGTGCTGCCGGTGCATTTCGGCGCATCAGCACTCCTCAGGCAGCCGACACCTTGGCACATAGACTGCTGCGGTGCCTCCTTGTGTGGGGCAGTGTGGTGGCAGTGTTTGCCTTGCTGTGGGCGCAAGGGGGGGCCTACCTGGGCAGGCGGGAGAAGCAGCCCTGGAGCGCACTGGCAGGGGCGGGGGCTGTCCTGGCTGGTGAGGGGTTAGTCTACTCTTTGATCGTGGAGCACATGCAATTAACTGCCTGGTAGCTGTGCTTCCCCTCTTATGCAAGTCTTTTAACTTCACTGTATGGGGCACTTCTGCACTTCAAGACACGGGAAAGGTTTGAACTTTGTGAGGCAGGCATGCAATTTCTGTGGTGTTGACGAGGGACTGAGGCTGCAGTCCCTCGTCTACAATCTGTTGACAAAGGTGCAGAAGCGGCCTCTGGCCTCAAAAGCAGACTTCATTCAATCTTGTGAGCACCTTACATCCAATGTGATGGCCTCTTTGTTGCCGGTCTGCAGTTCCGTTGAGCTACACGCTGGGAGGTGCCCTGCATTTCCCCCGCTCCTGGCATGCGTGGCAGCCCTTCCAGGGGGGGCCCTCCTTTGTCCTCCTGCAGGCCGCCACCTGGTTCTTCTGGGCCTGGGCTTTAGCCCCCTTTGTCATGCCCCTCGGGGTGGAGCACCCATCCAAGGCCTGCGGATCACAGGGCCGCAGCCAGGTGGTGCCTGATCTGCCCACAGTGCATCTCGCCTTCAGTGCGCTCGCCTGTGCCCTCGCCCAACTCGCAGTGAGTGGCCATGTCGCATTCCTAACAATGTCAGCACCGTTCCACTACTGATGCTTTGTTGCATAGGCGATTCATTTATATGTTGTTGGAAGCTTGCAACGTCAAACAGATAAGGAGCCGCTCAGGCAGGTCTTGCCGTTGCCGTCGCTGACTGGCGCTGTCACATCCTCTTGCAGACCAGCGTGTCCCTGCATGTCTACGTCCCCCACTCCCCCATCTGGCCCCCCCAGCTCCGGTCTCCCCCCCTCGTCACCGCCGCGTGCGGGGCAGCCTGGAGGCCAGCGCGGCCGCGCTCTGGGCCCGCAGCCGGCGCTGCTACCGCGCCCTCATGAGCATCAACATCAGCCTGGCCACCCTCCTGTGCGCCGTCGCCGCCGTGTGCGACATATGGTTCCACGGGCCCCCTCTCTCCCGCCTGCCCTCCTCCAAGCACGTCCTGGTGGCGGTTGCCGGGTTTGCCAGCCTGGCGGTGATTGGGCCCTCTACATACGGCCTCGGCGGCTCACTGCGGTACCGCAACACGTGGTCCTTCTGGCAGCCGTTTGTGGGGGGCCTCTCGTTTGTGGTCATCCAGGCCCTGGCGTGGGCCATGTTTGCGGCCGCCCTCGCGGCGTTCCTGCTGGCCGCGTACTGTGCGACTGCCCTCACCGGCTCTCGGTTGGGGAACGGCCTGCTGGCGAGTGCAGGGTTCGGGGGCCTGGCGTCCGAGGTGCTCATGGCGGCTTCGCTCCTGTGCTATGTCGCTCCGCAGCCGGTCAAAAAGCTCAAGGGAAGCCAGGGGAAGCTCATGCGGTTAGATACTGTGATCGAGCAGGAGGTGTCCGCCGCCGCACCCGTCGCGCAGACACCTGTCACAGTGAACAGTGACAAGACCCTGGGGACGGAGACTGCTGTTTTCAGGCTGTCTGACGGGACGACAATGGCTGTCGAAGCTCCTTCTGAAGAGCTCACCAGTGCCCTCTGCACGCCCCTCCTTCCCCCTAGCACGGGTCACCTTGAAGCCATTGCTCTGCCAGCCCATTGGCTCGCACAGCAGGCACTGAACAAGAGCTCTCCCCCACGGCCGCTCGCCCTGGCTGCGCAGTCCGTGTGGGGTCAGTTCAAAGTGTGGGCCGTGCTGGCGCTGTTCTACTGCAACCACCTCTTCTCGATTGCGGTCATCAGCCTGTCGCTGCTCCTGGGCTGGCGGTACCTGGCGGGGCTGGCCATCGCAGTCCTGCTGTACCTGCCTACTTACCGGGGCAGCCCCCACACGACGGGCCGGCGCACCTGGAACGCTGCAAGAGACAAGTGAGGGCACTGCAGCTTGGCCAGCATTCCACTGATTGGACTATACACAGCTGACGACCCGGGCTTCTTAGTGGCTCGAAGATCCAGTGAATGCTTGATTCTTCACATGTTTCTTGTCTTCATAAAGGCCTTTAGCTTGTGGACGCACGAACGAAGCTTCCAGGATCTATGCTCGGCTGTTGCCAACGATAGCGGAATCGTGGGGCTGCAGCACTTGTTCAGAAGCTTGGTTGCCAGTGGATTGCCTGTCTTTACTGTTCATCACCGGTCTTTCAAATCCTTCGCTGCAGGCTAGCTGCTGTTCTGGAGGAGGTCGCCATCCGCCATTGGGGGGGCCTGCGCCTCGTGCGAACCTCGAAAGTGCCTCTGGACGCATCCCAGTCGTACGTGTTTGGGTACCACGTGAGCAGACCTGCGCTGGACTAACTTACACTTTTGAGCCGTCAGCTTTCTCATCCTCGCATGGCATTGTTCGGCGGCATGCTCACTCTTTCTTTTCAGACAGTACTGCAAGCTTTTGAGACTAGGTCCTCGTGTTCCAATAGTTTCACCTGGTTCTTTTTACCCTGTTTCAATATATTTTGAGCTACCTCTCTCGTCAGCCTTAGCTCCCTCCTCCCCTTGTAGCCGCACGGCCTGTTCCCCGTGACTGCGGCCTGGTTCCAGTACACGTCCGCGTGGCGCCAGCTCTTCCCTGGTATCCGCCCCGTCAGCCTGGCCGCCACTGCCATCTTCATGGCGCCCCTTCTGCGCGATTTGATGTTGTGGGCCGGCAATCGTGAGGTGTCCCGAAGGGGCTTCCAGAACGCTCTCAGCCAAGAGAGGGCGGTCGTCATCTGCCCGGGCGGCCAGGCGAGTCACTGTCCGCGCTGTTGCCGCAGAGCGGTTTGCTGCTTTTCCTAAATTCAGATTGTTGGCCTGGCCTTAGCTTCCTAAAGTTCGTCCTTTTGTCCCAAAGATGATTGTATGTCAAGCTTGTGGCGGCAACGGGGCGTTGGTACGAGGGAGCTGCTGATTTGTCGTGTCCTGCTTCCCCCTTGATGCAAAGCCAGGTAATACCTTTCGGCCCCGCTCGCTTACTTGCTCTACCTGACAGCGCCCCCGGTTGTCGTGCAGTCGGAGCTGTGCCTGCACCAGCCGCGTTACCGCCGCAAGTTTGTGCTGTGCGCCCGGAAGAAGGGCTTCATCCGGCTGGCCATGCAGAACGGCGCCGCGCTAGTCCCCGTCTTCTGCTTCGGGGAGAGCTTCAACATGCACAACCTCTTCGACTGGCCCGCCATCCAGGTGTGCGCCGCGGCTGGCTGGCAACTGCGTGGACGTCTGTGCCTAGCACACGAGTCATTGTGCAGTTGTGAATTCTGTGACGGGGTTTGACCTCAGGCTGACCAAGATAATATCAGTTACCCTCCCGTGCGCACGCTGCTTTTGTATCCTCCTCTGATCTGCTTCCTGTGCTTTGTTCGCCTTCATTACGGATTCTTCCTGCTTGCAGCGATGGACGTACCGGAAGCTCGGCTTCCCCGTGCCCTTCCTCCCCGTCGGCCTGTGGGGCGTTCTGCCCGTGCCCGAGAAGGACGCCGTGTCCATCGTCGTGGGAGAGCCCATCCCCACGCGACCACCTCAGGCGGAGGCCGCGCTAGCACAGGACGGCTGGGCCAACCCGACCGAAGAAGACGTGGAAGCCATGAGGGTCCGCTACTTCCAGGCGGTCGCCGATCTCTTCCATGCGCACAAGGCGAAGCACGGGTATGCTGATTTCCAGCTCGAGCTTCGGCAAAACTGACGTAGACAAGAGTTGTGTGTCTCACCGGCCATGTCATGCAGACAGTGGCGCACGGTATTGAGTTCATGTGTTGACCAACAGCTCTCATCATGAGAGAATTCATAGATAAACGACATTCTTACTGCGGCGCTTCAATGGATCAAATAAAGCTGGTGTGGACTGGATACACAACCGCACTTCAGTCGAGTAGATCGAGGTCCATTCTAGCTCGCTAAAATGCCTTCTTGTGTCATACGCGCCTGGTCGTATTGATACTGTACCTCTACGGAAAGAGATTCGAAGAACGAAGTTTTGAAGATAGTACAGAATAGGAGCGGTAGTGATCTACCCTGAATCAACTGCCATTGCAGATTGATCCCATACTTAAATGTTTCACCATCGCGTTTGCAGAGCTGCTTGAAATTTGAATATGCAAGCTTGATCAGCAGCCATAGCCGAGCCTGCATATATGCACCTTCAACTTTGTACGTGGGCTTCTCGCTGTAGTGACCGACTCGCGGAAACCGTCACACATGCACGCTTCAAAAGTCTATGTCAGTCTTACTATCATCTACCGCGGTTTGTCGCAGGACGCTTAAGACTCGATTCGTGCATGTTGTCTGCAGAAGGCCTCGCACTTATTTAGCTTGGAAACGATCAAAACTTACCATGTGCGCTGTATGGCCAACTTACTGTCACTTTACGTGTCCAGCTTAAATACAAGTTCGCGTGTGCATGATTTAATATCACCGCGCCAGCCCTTCCTCATGCGCACTGCACGTGAGCACGGACGGCGAGTTCACCTCTGAAATGAACGCTACGGCACGCGGTTGATTTGGACGGTAAGGATTGCAGAGAACGGTCCAAACCGTTTCGTTCGCTCCGGCCGGAACTCTGCTGCACATTTAGCTAATCGTATGTATGCCGCATAACGTAGCCTGCCGGGCGAGGCGCGGTCCAATCGCAAAGAGGCGCTTCAATGCTTACGCAACTTGCACATGCGCGCCAACCGTCAGTATCCTAACGTAGAAGGTCAGTATTGCAGACCTCTCATGCATGACACCTTTATCGCCTTGCATCAAGTCAATAGCACAATATCCCTGAACAACTCGGGAAATTTTGATATGTGAAGGCGACCCCAAAGTATTCATACGCGGTTCCTGAGGTGTATATCGTTAATACCACTGTCCGGCTGCTGTATCCAATTCGAGTGATAATGGCGAAGGCCCGTTCCGAAAGCAATCATTCTTCAGGCCTGTGCAGGGCCAACGGTGCCATGTAGTCTTCCAGGTCGTCGTGGAAGTCCATCAGCTCCTGCTCAAAGTCGACGGCCATGCTGGACGGTGGTCCGGACAGAGCTCCACCCAGAGCCGCACGCTGCCGGGATTTGAAAGTCCTGCTGATGACCTTTTCCCCAAACTGCACGTAGGGCCACACAGAAATGTAGTCTGACCTTAGTAACAGGATACATCACATAGAATTGTAGTCTGAAGTTAGTAACAGGACATATTATCTCCGTAAGGCAATACTGTACGTGAATCGAAAGAGCAGACTGCAGCGGAGATGCAGACCCTTGAGCAGAATAAGTTTTGCAAACAAATGTTTTGCGCGCAAGAAAACCAAGAGCATCATGGTACGTGGCTGCAGCTAATAACCCTTTATTGGTTAGTTGTCATATAGCAGGGAACGTGCGTCTTACCTTTGCCTCCAAGGACCTTTCGTGCATGAAGATCGCGAGGGTAGCATCCGGCATTTCCAGAACCTCAACTCGCAGAAACAGCCTCGCGCTAGCGCTCGCGACCCGCATCAAGCTTTCAAGCGTTGCTAAGGACACGTAAGCATTCTCAGTGCCCAAAGACTGCGACCGACGGACCAGCATGTAGTAGGCCTGCAGCAATTCTCTTGCATCCCGGGTGACGCGAGGGCTTGGCAGCAGTCCCGCTCTCTGCAGGTGCACTTTCAGAGTCTCGGCAACTTCAGGTGCGTTATGTTCTTCCGTGCTGTCGAGAAGCTCCCCCGATGATCTCCGATCTGCTTCTCTGCCCTCGAATGCTGAAAGCCTATGCACTATGTCGAAACTGCTCAAGAGTCTGGGATCAAGACTCGGCTCTTGAAAGAGACACGCGGAACCGTCTTTGAGAAGAGACCTCTTGCTGCTTTCAGAGGTGAAGAATGCCCAGACAGAGCCACGGGTGGCGACTGACAGCTCGGGTCTGTCAGCGGCCGGCATAACTTGTTTGTCCATGCAATGCCGCAGTTGTTCGACCACGTCTTTCCGGAGGCTGCCTTTGCTGATGTCAACCACGCACACGCCGTCGTTGGCCAGCGCCATTGTTCCTGCTGTGACTGAAAGTACGCCCGTCTTGTCGTCAACCGCAGATGATCTTGCTATCACGTTCTTGTTCTTTGTGTCAAAACGGATTGACCTCGGAGAGAGAACTGCAGCCGCTAGCAGCAAACGAGAAGCCGCACTGCAAAATGCAGAAGCAGCCAGAAGTACGTGGATGCTCTTCCTGGTCTGCGAACTTTCCAGCAATGCTTCTTGCGAATCCTCCTCGCTTTCACCTTCTGTTTTCCATACGGAAACGAGGCTAAGGAGCAAGCTAATACACACTTCAGTTGACCAGATGGACGTGTATCCTGCCGGACGAAGTGCTTGCGCCAAAGCATCAAGCGATATGTTGTCTTGATCCAACAAAGATGCTGAAAGGGGGATATCTTGCACTTGTGTGTTGAAGAAGGAAAGAGCGTTGACCTTTTTGACACAGTTTGTACTCAGACAAGCCGATGCTGCCAGCTTGCCGTCCAAGGGAAGAGTGGATGAAGCGTCAAAAAAGCTCCTTGCATGCCCTTTGAGCAGTACACAGTTTCCAAGGCGGACCTCGCAGCAAAGATCCTCCAGGAGAACAGCTCTTATGCTTCCCTGGAATGAGTTGCGTTCAGGATCCTTCATTGTAGGGACTGGCCGCAGGAGTACTTCCTGCAGGCAAAGATTCCGCTACCTTTTGGACAACAACCGCAAAGAATTGTCGAAACCGATATTGAGAGTCACACTGTTGGCAAGGAACAAACATCACAAACAAGAAACGACAAAAGTTTCTTTACAGCCAACATGTGTGCTCTCTTATGAATGTCTTACCTGATAAGCAACTTCGACCCGGGAGGCAATGTCCTCTTCGAACGAAGTCCCACAGCTGCAGGGTGGTGTTCCCGGGTTCTCTTGGTATATAAGATGCTCCGCCCCGCATGCGTGGCAGCGGACTCGCCTAACATAGGTCCTTTTTTGAAGCGAAGAGACTTCATATACGACACCGAGAAATTGTACAGGGTACCCAGGCAGAGGGCATGGCTCCCTGCTGCACTCAGTAACCTCTTGAACGGACGTGAACACGGGTATCGGAACTGCTTGCCATCTTATGTGGATCCTCGATTGAAGAAGGACTTCTTGTATGGCTAGATCCTGCGTATTGTGATTGACAATGTGTTTGATGATGGAGACTCCGACATCCTCAGGGCACCGGATGATCTCGCCAGCTAAGATTGGAAAGCTGCTTATGAGCTCCATGACGTCCACTTTCAAAATGATGACTTCGGTCTTCTTGAGGATCTTTCGCCGCAGGCTGCTTCCTAGGTGGTCGATGCGCAACCATTGCACGAGTTCTTGTTGAAATTCCGAGGCATCTTCACTTGCTGAGCTGCTATCAACTGCATCATGGCTGTAAAAAGATGGCGTTTCACCACAAGATTGAGAAGGAGATGCTGGTGGTCCTTCCATTGCTTTGAGGCCCAGTCCAACACGTTACTCAAAGTGGTCTGAATGCACATGGGGTTCCTCTAGCACAACTCATGTACCACTCCCCGTGCAAAGACTCTTGAGGGTAGAAGCTTCTCAAGCCCACGGAAACAAATGGGAAACCGCATGCGATTGCGAGTGCTGTTTGACAGACAAAGGAACGTACATGGTCTTGAGCTGGTCAGTGTTTATGAGCCTATGCCCGTTAATCTGACTCTTAACACGGTTCTTATTCGGAACTCCTGTAAGATTGTACCTGGTGCAGACGGTACAAGTCATCAGCTACTACATGCTTCGCACCCGAAGCCTGCACCCTAACCATCGAGCTAACCCGGCCTCGACTTTTACCCGGGGCATGGCATTGTAGGTGTTGATTTTCAGGACAAGAAACAAGCTCCTTCTCATTCGACCGTCACCAAGGACCCCCCATTCTGGTGGCTTATGAGCAGGCTTAAATCTCGGAAAGCGGTCAGGCAGATGCGTAACGATCAAAGCGGGACGTGTAGCAAGACGGTCCCATGATCAGCCAACCAACATTTTAGAAAAGCGCTGCATATGTGAATTCGAAACACGCTACGCCTAGCTACTGTGGTGCCATGAGACCGCCGTAGGGTGAGCTGCCTGAGCCTAGTTGCATGGACCTAAGAGACCAATTCCGGACAGGTACATATCTGCGCTTTGATTGCTGGCCGGCACGTCTTGAGAGTTTGTTTTAGTTTGCGCAATTTCCGAACAAAAACTCGAGCGTGTTTAACCAGCTGCTTTGAACAGAATCCTTATTGATCAGCGATTATTTGCAACGGGCTGTCTGCTTGGAAAGTCTTTTTGGAAGACTGCCTTTGTACGATCACGTAGAAGGCTTAAGTCTTCCTGGAGAAAGGACCTGGAGTCCGCCAACAATGCCGACTTTTGCGAGCACACTCTGCTTCGCGACTTTTCTACTAGCAACCGCCGCCAGCTCCACAGAAGACGCTCTTGACGGGGATCCAACGCACGAGAAGAGCTGGAAGCAACAAAATGCCTTTGTGTTATTTGGGTGAGTCCGCAAGCTACTCTGAATTCTCACACAGCGTTTTCGAAGGCTTGCCTAACCCTCTCCTGTTTCATGTGCTGAAAGATGTCCAAGTCCTGCAATGTTGTGTCTCATAGTGACCATGTCGGTTGATTCTTCGGACGCGCTTCGTGCGGCGTATTTCGTACCCTCATAAATGAAACCTTCATTTGCAGGTCCATCACCGTTTTCGACTCCAGTTCCTCTCTTTCTCCAAAGAAGGAAGGGTGTCATTTCAAAGTCGTCGTCCAAATAGGTGAACAGGCAAGTAACTTTCTTACATAAAGCGTTTTCAAAGGGTCAAACTAATTCCTCCAGCTCTTGATACAATTCTGACCTGCATGCGCTACGAGTTTGAGTTGCAGTCTCTCAGTAGTGCTTTCGTTGAGTTGGGGGTACAGTTAAGGTGCCTGTCAATGTACCTCGATCTCGTGATGCAGTATTCATTTCTGTCCCATCCCTTTTGCTCATTACAACATCGCTTCTGCAGAAATGGGAAGAGCGCTGTCCTTCGCCTGACTACACATTTACATTGCTTCCGAGCGCTGACATCAATAGCGCGGAAAGTTCCATTCACCGGGGTACCGTAGGAGTGTCTCTCATCGATGAAGACAACGAGGATGACAGGTCTCCAGTCTGGCTTCGTCACTTTCAAATAGCAGGTGAGTTTTAGTAGTCTCAATAACAAAAATGGCTGGTGAGAACAACGCAAAAGCACTGCAGGCGTCCTGGTCAGCTCTTGAAAAAACAGTCTGTGCAAATGCTGTTCAGATCATCTTCAAACTGAATTGACCATTGGCGTCGTGAGAGATATTCGCGGCTCATACCTAACGCTCTGAGAAGAGAGCTGCTTGCATTATAAGCTTGGAACGGTGCAAGAACGATTGATTCATGCTGCAGGTCAGACTGTGGTTCAGCTGGACGCTACAATCGTACTTAGATCGATCCGGTCTACAAAGAGAGCTTCCTCCGGTAAGTAGCTTCGTTGGCTGTCTCTTCGGTCGATTCGCTGACTAATTCGAGCTTCATCAAATCATGACAATTGGTCGGGCTGAATCACATCAACTTATTGAAAGGCACGTCGGAAAAAAGAGCAGCAAACATGACGGAAGCACACAGCTCTTCTATCATGGCTGAAACACCTCGTATTAGCGCCAAGAACATTCAGAATAGTAGTCTGAAACTATCACTAGAGCCCAAAAGCAATGTTAGATGGATGTACAAGGCAACCTGTTTTTTAAGGCGTCGACTTTTCGTCGCACTTGACTCCAAGCCTGCTCGAAGGAACAAGATAGTTGACGCCTGAGTCGACCGTCCAAGGAGGTGAAGCTGCATCAATTCGAAAGCAAGGAACTTCCGTCCTTGTGCAGGTGCAGGCAGAAAGGACAGCTTAGTAGTCGGTTCGGGGTCGCGGGAACGAGAAGTACCCGAACCCGCTACTTGCTGGATTGAAGGGGAAAGAGAATGTGTGCCGGTGGATAGCGGCAGCAACTCCAGCACAATTTCAGCGGGGGTGGAGACCGGGCCCCGGTTTAGTTGCAGGGGCGATGCAGAGACCTCGTCCGAAGAAGCGGTGTGCAATCCAGATTATCGGCCTCGGTACTTGAACATCGTGCGAGCATGGACCACGTTCTACCTTCCCGCGGCTGCCATAGTTTCTTATCTGCTCACGAGGTACTTGCAGTTACTTCTGATCTCCTTAAAGGAGCTTCTTAGCATGTATAGGCGAACAGAATCAGGAAGAGGGGCAAATCGATCTCATCGCGAGAGACACCTGCAGCAGGACTTCGAAGAGTGTATCGGATCAGCACCCTGGTTGGTTCGTCTAGCGTGTCCAAGTCCCGGGGGTACTTTGAGAAAGCACGGACCACGAATGAGGCGCCACGGCAGCTTTGTGGCGACGGGCGAGTGCCACTTGGAGGATGCTCAAGCGCAAGCAGACCGCAGCTTTAGTGAAGTACTGGACCCAGGTATTGAAAGGGCGGCGTGCTTTTACTATCAGTGTACGTCTCAAACAAGAAAGCCACCTTTGCCGCCAGGAAGCTGGAACCGCACGGGCACAGGAAGGCTCGAGCGTCATGAACGCGGTAGTGCTCGGGACGGTGCTTTTCTTGTCGAAGAATAGCTGTTCAGAATTTGAAAGCATGCTACCTTGGGTCTATAAGGCGTTACGCATAAGTTTACTTGACATGCCTTTGGCGTTTCATAAGCGGCCACAACTTAGTAATGAAAAGATGCTCTTTGAACAGCTTCGAACGGGTAATGCCGTCTACAAACCGTACAGCAAGCTTATCAACCGCATACGGATTCGCATGGATTGAAACATAAAGTTGAGAGGACATGACTTTCGAACCACAGTCTACCGGAAAGATAGCATGTGTGGCGCTCGACTTCTTTCATACAAAGTTACAATAGTTGCCAGCCTACTTTGCTGCTCTTGATAAGTGCAGAGCTGCATGGATGGCACCAAGTGCTTCGATCGGCAGCCAGCTCGCGGGTTTGAGCTTGGATGATTCGAGTCCGATTTCATGAATGCTCGCCCGGGCGCTTTCAACATTGTTACCTATTGCCGGCGGCCCCCGCGTGGTTTTTGATATACAAATACCAGCATTTAGGGGGCCCACATCTGGGTTTCGCGGGGCCCTTCACAGCCCGTATGATTTGAAAAAGACCATGCATGTGAGCGCGTTATTTAAGTAAATGATGCTCACGCATGATTCTAAGTTTCGACCGATGTCGATCGAGGCAACATATCATGCCACAAGCATGAGCTCTCGATCATCAGCCTTGGAGTCGATCGGAAGATGTCGACCTTCATGATCTTATACAGCCGCTGCAGCACGATCGCCGATCAAAAAGTGCACTAGTGCCGGCCGGGCCATGGTTAACCACAAGTCTCTGGCTATATAAGCTTTTGTTATGTACCTCACCAAACATCTGATGATAGTTTGACCAGTGGACTGCAAGCTAGACGATCGACAGGTTTCCGGCATGCATCCATGGTCCATGTTCGAGCTCTACTAGCGGCCCATGCACATGTACGGTCTCGGCACAACAAGATGCAACATTGTGGCCTTCCTGGTGCGATCATAGACGCCATCCGCAGCTTCATGTAAAACCGCTCAAATATACCGGTTTGGGTTATGTGGCCGGCGGATCCAGCATGTACTGCATCCAGCGAAGGACTCAAAAGACACAACATCCCAAATGTGCAACCAAGAAGCAAGGGTATGCAAAGGACATTGACTTTCCTTCACCAATACACGCAGCTTACGTGCTGAAACCGGTACCACAGCAAACGCAACTCTTGTCAAGATCAGAACGGATCACTTCAATCGGGGGCCAGTTCCGACAGCAGCAGTAGAAACAAACATTCGGGCTTCTTACGAACTGGCTATGATATCTTGAATCAGTTCACTCACTGACTCATCCTCTGACCTTACAGCAAGCTTCATGGCGACCTGCTTTTGTGCGTCGATGCCAAAGGACAGCCGTGCAAGGACAGGGACGTTTCCTATGAACGTTCCCGCTAGGAGTGCTGTGTGAGAGCGCGCGTTGCTCGGCACTTGGTCGGTCCCCTGGAAAATAGCATGACGGCTGCTCAGCAAGGGTGTTGAGAAACTGCCGGACGGGCTCTCATGGGGAACGGCTTGCCTGCCCTTCTTTGATCAGCAAAGCAGAGCTACTGAAGTCGAGAAGCAGGTATGCTTTGACTGCAGCTGCACTTATCGAGGTCGCTAACGAGAATGCGAGATGTTTGTGCCGCTCACCTCCACTGGCTGCATGCCTAGCGTGTTGATGACCGCCTTGACCGCCTCCTGGAGGCTCTCGCGAGGGCCCAGCCCGTACTCGTCCACCTTCTCCAGCCCGGGGTCCAGCGCCTCCCATGAGTTGCGGAAATTGGAGACCGACGTCCGCTGGATGTAGTCGCCAATGGTCACCTGCACGAACGGGGCAAGTTGTGAAATAATCACCGACATGACTTCGCTTCTCTGCTGCCAACACGGCACAAGCAAAAGGCTACTCCTGGTTAGAGATTGCAGGCTGGGGGATTGCCAAGCGTTCGCTAAATCGGAGCTCACCTCCACGTCCTCCAGAGCGTACTCGTCCTCGTACCCCTCCTCGTCAGGCTCTCCGCTGGCGGGGTCCACCTGCGGCACGAACACACACAGGAAATGGTCAGTGTGCCGCAAATGCTCATTTCTGCAGGTCTAAGCAGCGTCTCAAATCATCACGGATCTCTTCGTCAAAAAGTCGAAAGTTTGCGAGCACATGGCGCGCTCACCTCCTTGACCTTGAACTTGAGCACGTTCCCAAACTTGCCCAACGCAACAGCACCCTCCGGTTTGGCCAGCAACACGAAGGTCTGGCCTGGCGAGCCGTAAGGGAGCGACTTGAGCGGGATGGAGGCCACCTCCTCGAACTCATCGGCCAAGGACGTGTCCATCACCACCTCCACCTGAAGGGAGCCAGAAAAAACGTGTGTAAGAATCTCGTTTTTGTCATCGCAGCTGATCGCCTTTTCGCTCTTTTTCAAAGATGATAGTGGCGGCAGGGAAGCGCTTCCTCGGCTTCAACGACACATGTGTTCGATCATTAACCGTTGACACACAAACAGCATCATGTTCCCAGATAAGGAAGTCGAGGTGCTATAAGAGCGGCAGCGCAAAATCATGGTTTACCTTGCTACTGCATGAGAACGCAGATTGCATGTGGATTCCTTGGTGCATACTCACGTTTTCTAGCAGCTGCTCTTGGATGGTGTTGGTAGCATTGAACTGGAACACGACATGTGCGGGATACGTGTGCTTGACCACGTTCACAGCGTACTCCGTCTCCTCTTCTGTAAGTTGGACCGGCTTCGAGGACTGCATACAGAACACAAAGGTCAAACTTATCAGATCATCGCACTCGACAACGACAGTGAGTAAGCAGGACACTGAACCAAGCACCGATCAGGCGCCGCTGACAAGTCCTTGTAGGGGTTATGAAAGGTATAAATCTTGGATCACGGTCTACGCTACCAGAACTTGCTGGGTCGAAGCACGTAACATCTGCCAACCCACCTTGAAGAGCTTTCCAATGGAGGCGAACTCTGGGATCGCGTTGAGGAGGTTCTCGTACGAGCTGGTCGAGACCGCTGGGGCAACTCCGTTGGCATGTGCGCCCGTGGCCGCCGCCTCCCGCTGTGCCTTCTTCTCCTTCTTCTTCTCGGCAATGGTGAGGGGTTTTGCCTCTTTTGAGACGGCAGCGATGTTGAACGGCTTCTCGCTCGGCTCCTGCAAACCGACAAAGCCATTTTCGGTGAGCATAGACAGAAACGGTCCAAAGCGCTTCCCGAACTCTTCAATGGCACGGCACATTGATGACATACTCATTTGCAACCAAAGCTCTGAGCCAGCGGCCATCGAACTGATTTGGAAGCTGCAAAGAGTTGTTGTTTGACAGATTCCGGCTTCTGTCGAGCCAGCTACCTGAGCAGTACATAAGCCGTTGGCATCCACTTTGGAGAATCAGTCCCGATCTAGCAACCGGTGAGGAGCTCACGTAGGCTTTCAGGCTGGCCTCCAGATTGGCTAGGGGCACGTTGAGGGTCTCGGAAAGGAAGGCCGCCGCGCCGTCAGGCGCAATGTCCTTGGTGTCACCCAGCACTTGGAGGTAGAGGGTCGCACGGTCGCGGACCTGCGGAGCAAGACGGAGCATAAAGAACTGCCATCTGATCACAGATTCGGCTCGCCGCTTCCCTTTGCTTCGGAAAAAGACTCCGTGAATACATGCATATTCAAAGCCACAATCGGAGCAGGCCACAGCACACTGAGGCGCGGAGTCCTTGAGCTTGTGCTGCTACGAACTGCCTAGCTGGAACGATAAACTGTACACCGTCGCTCCAATCGGACGTGGTGACAGGCGCGTACCTCGTCATCGTTGTCGTGCAGGCAGCGCCGGAGTAGGACCATGATCCGGGGCTGCAGGAAATCGACCATGGCGCCGAACTTGGCGAGGGCGCTCACGGCGCTGGCGCGCACGGTGGCGTTCTCCAGGATGACCCGGTTGTAGATGTAGCGGATGTACTTGCTGGGGTCGGCGGTCTTGGGGCCCTCGTTGCCGAGCAGGTGCAAGATCTGGAGCGTTGTGCAGAGTGCCGTTAGCCGGACTGGCCATACGTTCGTCTGACTAGGGCCCCACCAAGTTATGAGAGCAGGTGGCCACAGCACAAAAGGTCGAAGATCTTAGCAGCGAGAGACAATCTGCAGCCCCTTCGCCTTTGATCTGCGCGCCACCTTTCACGATATCTGGGGCTAGATAGAGATAGCTCGCAACGTTTTCTGGTGGATAATTTCAGAACTGCTTTACAAAGAATGCAAGCGCTAAGGTTACCTGCGTGGACAGGTAGGTGAACTCGCAATCTTCGATAAACTCGCAGAGGTGCGAGAGGCCGCTCTCCTTGGCGTCCGGGATCTCCCGGATGAGGATCAGGATCGAGTCCACGATGGCCTTCTTGTACTCGAAGCCGCCCTCCTCTCGCAGAATGTTGCTCAAAAAGTTCATCCTGCAACAAGGCAAGGCCGCAACGGCATCAACTACTGCGAACTGCAAACTTTGAAAGATTAGCAGCAAGAGTGCAAAGCACCAACATGTCCGAAGCTCACAAAACGTTCAAGGACGCTGACAAGCTGCATTACAGTCAATTTGCGTCTAAAAGAGAGTCAACCCCGCAACTTGGATGCCGAGATTGACGATGTCTCGCCCAAGCTGCGAGTTCAGAAGGAAGGGGAGCCTTACAGGGTGCGGTACTTCTGGGGGAACTTGAGGCACAGCGAGCGGATGGCTTCCACCACGGTGATCTTGAACTCGTCCGCAATGTCCGACATGAAGTTGGTAATCTGCTTCATCAGGCGGTCTACGCTCGACTCGTTGCCCGTCTTGAGCAGCGTCGTGATGGCAAGCGTCGCAATGCTCCGATTCTGATCGCTGATCAGGCTCTCCATGTCGATGTTGCAGTTGGTCACGGCCAGCGGGTGCGTCATTGCGACCTGCTAGGGAAGTGCCGATTTGAGACTTCGACCGCGAATCTTGGACAAGGGGAGTTCAAGCCAAGAGCACACATCCGGGCCGAATACACTCAAAGATGCACACGAGCACATGTCTCACCTTGTTCAGAGTCCTGACAGCAGCGAAGCGCAACACTGGCTTGGAGGAGCTCAGGAACAGCTGCACGAAGACATAAACCGTATTAGATGCAATCACAGCTGTGCTGGGTATGCCTTTATCTCAAACTCCTGTGAGTCACGTTGCCCACAGAGCATCTGCCCAGTGACAGCCCTTCGACACACTGGCTACCAGGCCAGATGACAGCAAGCACAGCGCCACCTGGTGTGGCTCAACTCCTGCTGGTTGGGAACACCCATACCTGGAGGACTGTGATGGCTGGTGTCAGCTCGCGGCTGGTGACCCCCTCCAGCTGCGTGATTGCCCGGGCGGCCTCAAAGATGACCATCTCTGCCTTGTGGCGCAGGCAGCCCTCGAGGAACTCATAGAAGGGCCGCTCGCCACCCGATGAGCTGATGCCAGAAGCTTCATGGATCACCTGTGCCGCAAAATGCAGAGTTGTTCACAAGGAGGAAGCAAGGGCGATTGATGCTTCAACGATCTGAGCGCCAAAGCATCATCTCCAAGTCACTGAGAGGCAGCCCGAGAGTGCACTGTCTACAATAGTAAGAACCGACTCACCTGCACAGTGTAGCGGATCAGCAAGCACTGGGCCAGCGGCGACCGGACGTTGCCCCTGGTGAGACTGGTTACCAGCTTACTGACGGCCAATCTGTCGTTCTGGCGGATCTGCACAAGTGGAAGGCACCAAACATCAGCCTTGGCACCTCGTCCAACGGGTCACACCAATTGAGAGTTGAGTGCCTAATTGGAAGATACATGCTTTGCAAATGTCTTACGTAACTGTGATCTGGAAACTGCAGAATGGATGCAACGTGTCAGGACATGATTAGAAGGCACTTCTCACCTGGTGGAGCAATGCCAGCGCGTGAAACTGGACAAGTGGCGCCTTTGAGTTTACAGCCTCCTGCACCTCGTTGCTCCACCTTTTCACGATCTCCGGGTTGTTCTGTACAGCGCAAGATGTGGGCATGAGTCCTCAGAGTAGTTCATAACCCACCGATGAGGAACCGTATAGTTGGAAGGGCAAGTAAGCGAGTGGGCAGAACATACGGGCAACCTCATGACTGACCTGCAAACCCCCGGCTTCTGACATAGGTCACACGAGCTGAGCTCACCTTCAAAAGATGGATTCCGCTGACGAGCGCTGCGCTTGCCACAATGGGGTTCTTGTCCACAACTGCCTGCTTCAAATACCTTTCGATCTGCCCCAGCAGACCTCCATCAATGATTCTGCAGAGAACTCTTATCGCATTGGCTCTGTACAGGTCTGTCTTGCTGTTCATATCCTTCATGAGCGAGCTCGTCACGATGATCACCTGCAGAGAGCAGAAGCAGCGTTCCCTCCCAATTTAAGCACACTAGCCTTCCATATGGTCTGGGACCTTCATATGCTCAATCTTAAGGCTTTTGACAGGCAATCAGGATGTTTGTACATGTGAGCATCTAACATTAAGATTGATGAGAGATTGTCATCAGCATAACGAAAAGCAGCTTCCAAGATAAGCGCAGCCCCAGGTAGAGAAGCTCACCTCGTCAGCAGATGGTGTAATTTCCTTGATCATGAGATAAACCATCCGTCGAAGCGCAATATCTTTGGACTGGAAAAGCTTGGTCGTCGCAAAGAACACCTCGGTTGCCTCCGTCTGTATCACAATCAAGAGAGAGCTTACTGGCAAGACATGAAGTATACATGAGACCTCACCATCATAAGCAGATAATAGATTCTGGATTTGATAGCACGCAGGATATCATATCTCCGAGAATGCCCTTGACGGGCCAACCTCAATCCCGATGGAGTCTTACCTTGGTGAAACTCTCTCCTTGGTTGAGCAGGTACAGCAGCTTTGTGATAACCTGAATGCAGTAGGAATTCCAAGAATGGGCTTTCAATATGAGCGTTGCAGACTGATTGCAGCCCCACCCGACCACTAAAATTCACAAATGTCCATAACTTCACTAGGATCTGATCCCACACAAGATGGGCCCAAATGGAGCTCGAGTAACAGTGCGGAACCATCAATTCAGCTGCAATGCATTGCACTGGATCCTGACTTATCGAAACATTGGCAACTCTTCACATAAGGAGGGGCGGCTGACCTGCTGACATCTCCGTGTGTCCAATTGAGGGTCGTTGAAAACCCGCGCTTCTTGCAGGACTGCACCCTTCTCAATACCGAAGAAAGGGGAATACTCGGCTGCAAGACAACAGACACTGTTGGTGTACAGCGGCGGACGACTCTAGAGATGCCAATTGGGCGCTTACAAGCAAGCTCGGAAATCCAGGCCTGCTCACGAACCATAACAGACTAGGCCAACACAGTGGCAGCAAGATCATAAGGTAAAAAGTTACACTGGCCTCAGATGCTGCACTCAATGCCTTCCAGTCAAACTTACTCTCGTCGTCTCGGTCCTCATCCTTCTTGTCTCGTGGATTTACTAAAGCCATGTTGCCTCCTTGAAATGGACTTCGAGAGATTTAAGTTTGCCAGCGAAGACCTCCCTCTCCGCAGTTGTCGCCTCCACAAAGAATCAATGTAACCTATCTGCGCTGATCAAACACCAGATTGCTTGGCTACAATCAACGCTAGCTGCCCTGATCGAAGCTGTATGCGACCACAGGCGACCTGTCACCTAGCAGACAGTGTACATCTCTCATGGTTCAGAAATCTCCACCTAATCTAGCGAGTCCCAGGCCCAGCTAGGGCGAAAGGGACGGCAGTTCGTCAACCTGAACCTTGCAATATTGAGTCTGCCAGAGTAGCTATTGGTCTAAAATGCTGACCTGGGCACGTACATAAGCGAGACAGTATAAGCCACGTAGATTGCCAAATCTCGAACTCTTCGCGTCAGTTAAATTGGGCCAGCTTAGAGCATGGTCGATATGGTACTTGGGAAAATAATATTAGGTACGGATAATATGAGTCATATGACGGCCATTTTAGGACCTTGTCTGCGTCCGTATGGTTCACACAAGACCCGAGCATAAATGATAAGCGAGTTGATATCTGATGACAGCCAGCAGAAACTGAAGAAAGATGCCTGGAGAAAGATGCCTGTGGGCAGCAGACTCAGAGCCAGCAGAACATTGTCATTATCAAGGAGCTGGGTGGTGCCACAGCGAAACCTTGAAGGCCCAATGCAGTTACTTGTAGTCCTCATGACTGCACATTAAGTAAGATACAACTTAATTCTGCCCATTGCTCATTTTGTTTCATGGCTGGCGCCACCATCCAGAACAGTATCTTGCAGAGGAGCAGCCAGAGCAAGCTGTGGGTGAACGGTCAAAATGTTCCGGAGGACTCTAGCAAGCCCTCTTGGCACGAATCTAGTGCCAGCATTGGTATTTGGCATCCAATGCACAAGACCTTTCGAAGAAAACTTCTACCCCCTGGCTTGAGGATAGCGGAATCTGTCAGCTTGTTAGAAACTCGGCAGAAATGCTTGGCAATCCGAGCAGGGTCCAAAGGCGGGTTGAAGTCCAAGGCTCTTTGGGAGATGCAGAATTCAAAACGCTTGCCAACAGATGTCTGCCCATGTGGTGGTGGTGTAGAAAAGGACAGGTATCAGACCTGTTGCGCAAGGTTCCATAAGAAGGGCCTCGTTCCTACAACTGCATTGCTGCTCATGAGTAAGCACCTTTCACTTTATTTACATAGCTAGGATTAGTTGCACTCCCAGCTTTGAAACTGTAAGGTAGTCAGATGCCAATGGTCAGAGAGCGAAACTTGAGGTTATGCCCATACTTTGTTGCAGCTTGCAACGTTCTCAAGAACGCCGTGCTGCTCATGTGCAGGATCCAGGTACACAGCATACGTCAAAGGCCTCGTAGACTACTTAGTGGACACGACGCATCCTGATCATCCAGGTACCAGTCAGACTTTAACAGATGGTGCAAGGTTATGCTCCGAAGTTCCTCTTTCACACCGCCCATTAAAAACAGGCACTGATTGCATGCTGACCGAATTCCTAATTGCAGCAAGAGGGCACCAGTCTTGGCAGTCTTTACTAGGATTAGCGGATTGTGCTTAGTATCCTGCCCCAGACAAAAAGTAAGATTCGCTTGCATATTAAAATGTCGTGCCCTTCTTATCAACCTTAGATGAGCTCTTCCTACACCCTCACCCATCTGCTCCGAAACTGTACTCCCCTGCTTGGCTATTGTTTCTTGCAAAGTTTCCAAGCATTATCCGCCTGTTTGCCTCCACAGATTATGACACCATGAGGAAAAGCGTTCGGGACACAACTAACAGGGTCAGATTCAAAAAGTTAGATATTCAAGATTCCACGAATGGTGAAAACGAGGTAAGCATGTTAGGACAAGCGTGCTTGGAAGCTGCTTCTTCTTGTCTATTGCAATGCCCTTATCTCTGAAGCATACATGAGGATTTGATTGATAGGATGATGCTCCATAGATGCTCTGTCCTTACTCTCAGTATCAGGATTGTCAGAAAGTTGCTTGTTCTTGCAGGCTTTTGTAACCTTTAGATTCGACTTCTCTTTGGGAAGGGGCATAGATAGGCATATAACTGAGAGGAGTCGTTTTGTAAAGGAGGAGGGTCGGTGGCTTTTCATTGGTACGGAAATATTGGAACCACAAAGTCCGAGTGATGAGGACAGTCCCTTGGCTCCTCTGTCAAACCTAGATGTCTAAAAAAGAGCAACTCATTGAAGTGCCTCCATGGCCATCGGTTTTCGTGTGTTCCTGGTTGAAGCCTGCTACTGAAATTTCCAGGAGTCGAAGGGGACCCATTCTGGCCGAATCATGGGGAGCTTAGGATCCAGTATAATATGACCTCGTGTTTTGGTCGTCGGAAGGTATTGAAAATGATAAATCCACTTTAAGTTGAGACCAAGAAGCACGTGTAAGAGTAGCTCGAACCATCACATCTCATGGTCATTAATCGTCATAGAGCAGCGACATGTAGGATCAATCCGGATCTAGGTGTAACGAAGGGATGATGCATCTTCAATTCACCTTGTTCGAAAAACATGGAGGCATTCAAGATTGATGGCTGCCGACTTCATCGGTTTGATTGACATAATAACATGGTAATGAATTTGAGACCATCACGGGCGCGCAATGTTGCATGCAAGCTGTCCGCTTGATTCCGCTTGAACTCGCAGCACATACATGCGTGCCAGAGCCGCGCTTGCGCCTTCAACGAATATATCACTATTCTATATAGCAACTTAGTGAAGTCCTAGGGAGCTCTTCTTCTATAGTCGGAAATTTGCAATTTGCAATTTGCATGGCTCGCCAGATGTCTCATACGGTGTGCCGCCATGTGTAAATGTAAAAGAAAACATGCATGCCTGAGGAAAAACCATGGCACGTGCATGTTTGTCCGGGTTGCATATGTCGCATCGGAACATAAGCTGTGCAATACCATGATTTGCAGTAACCCACTGACCGGCCGGCATGCCGCAGTGCACTGCGGCGGTGTGCCGCAGTATATTAAACTAGAGTCAACATGTGGCGTAGGCTGGCTTCCATGCCAAGATATCTGAAATAGGCCGTTTGCTACACAGTGCGTCCCATCCTGAATGTTACTGAATTGCAAAATCAAAGTGTTGCCTATTGCTCAGCTTCATATCACCGCTCCGTGATTGGACATTCTCATTCATTGGTTGGAGGAAAGCATCCTTGTTTGCCGATGCAGAAGAATGAGTCCAAAAGAGAACGAGCAACTGGAACGGACGTCGCTTATTCGCGCTCAAGGAACAAGGAAACAGCACTTGCCGCACCAAAAAGATTTGGGAGCCAGGCTCCCACTAGCGGGGGAACGACCACCAACTGCAGGCATTCAAGAGAAGAGCAAATATATGTCTCGGCTTGAAGCAAAGCAAGCAGAGCCAAATCGCGGACTTGCAAACCTTCCCGTTTCCAAGTGGTCCATGGTTTGGGAAGGGCAAACGTCGAGATGCAACTATCATCGGTTGCACCGTATTCAAAGTGCAGACATGGAGCGAGATTCTAATGACGCTGGCCAGTTGCACTCCAATAGTTCAGGCAGAGTTCGTAATGTCGCAACCGGTCGATACGTGAGCCTCTCACCTGTGCCAGAACGGAGCCGGTCACAGACATGGCATAGTACCCGAAGACGATGGCGAGAGTCAGGGCGAATCCCACCTGATAAAGGAGACATGAGTCAGAATGCCCCCTGCTTATCCTGAACGCCGAAATTGCGCCGGAAACGTATTGGTTCTTGTCACTCTGTCAGACTCAGCGCTTTATGTTAAGGAAAGCGTTTGTGTCGCTTTGGCAGGAAGCGCGGTTGGAACCGTGCACGTGCGTAAGGCCATACCTCGAGCATAAACCAATTCGGCTCGCCTTGCTCACCCGCTTTTGATCGCTCGGGAGCCGCAGACTGACGAGCGAGCCCAAGACGCCGAAGACGAAGCACGCAAAGGGCAGGGCAAGCCGCTGATGCATCTTGAGCTGCACGGAGGGAGCGTAGGATGGAAGTACGTCGTCGATTGCGGTCGAAGAATCGAAAGGAATCTCGTAGCATAAAAAATGGAAGAGACGCATGCCTCGGCAATCAAGTGACGAATCCGCAAGGCAAATGAGTGCTTTGAATCGTCGTACCTTCATTTTCCGGCTTTCTTTGACGTTCCTACTGCTCTCGAACATCTTCTGGAGGGACGTCACCTGCAATATGTACGGTTGTGTTACCCGAGAAGGACGTCGTGCTCAAGCCGACAATTGAGGCAAGCTTAGAACGGTGTCCAACGTGAGGGTTGCGATTCGTCGCGTGCTTTCGCCTTTACGCTTGCACTTCGGTAACTTGGATTTAACACTTTGCACTACAGCGATCGGAATTCGAGAGGAGGTTTCTTGCTTCGAGATCCCCACGAACATGACGGCGTCGGATGAGGGGGTGCGCCTTACCTGAGCGAGCGACATGTCGTCGAAGTTGCGGCCGGCGGCTTGGGCGAGGTCAATGGGCGTGTGGGCTAGGTCAAATACGGCTGCACGACGAGGAGACAATCTCGATCAGGGGGCCAGTAACGAGACAGCCCGCCGCATATAGGTTTGCACAGGGGGCGCCAAAGCGATGCGAATTGACGAGGCCGTCTTTGAGCACAAAAAGCCACTAGATGAGGAACTTGGAGAAACAAGGCTATCCTCAATGGTACAGGTGGCCCCAAATATTTTCAAAACGGCGACTTCAGCGGTGGGGAGGAACCAGGATTCGCAACTCACCTTTTTGCTGAAATGTGTGGAGCTCTTGAAGGGAACGTTGCTCATGTAGTAACTTGGGTAACGTTGGGGCGCTGTTACTGGGGCCACTCACTCGATCTCCGTCATAGCAGTATTCCGCCCCTTCAAGAAAGATCCAGCCGCGACCGTCTCCCTGCCACCGAGCAGCCTTCGCTAAGACTGCTCTCGACACTCTTTGGGCCTTGTTACCTTTCGATAGCTCCGTCTTCTCCACACTGCTGCGTGCACTCTGATCAGGAGGACTGTGGACGGTCCCACTTGCGAAGGACAGCTGGGCAGGGTCGCTGGTTGTGGTTTCGGGCTCAGGACTTGGTTGCATCTCGACAAGAGTAACGTCCAGCATGCGGGAGCTATCGAATCGGCGGGCAAAGAAGAGGCGGGCGAGGCCGCCGTCCTTGTGGAACTCAGGATACACGATGGGGTGCCTGGACGCCACGAGAGGCGTAGAGCGTGCCTGTAAACAGTGGCAACTGATGGGGTCGAAAAGCGAGAGAGCTCCAAAGAGGTCTGGCCCTCCCGAGCTGCGGTTTTCACTCGTCCAAATCAAGCGCAGGTTCAGAACCTGGCTGGTCGAAGGAAAGCAATGCAGATGGCTGCTGATATTTCGAAACAAGCAGCCATGTGCTCGAAGCAGGAGGCAGCAAAACTTCCGACCGAATTCGAGGCAGGAAGCCCGTACTTTGCGATGAACGAACCGGACGTCGGAGGGGGTCTCGACAAGGAGCGTGGACCTCGCATTCGCAAACGGCGCCACTCCCTGCAGAGCACTGAAGATTGTCAAATGCAAACTTCTAAACAGAAAGAAGAACAGAGTGTGCAGATTGTGCTAGTTGTTGCAAGCGATTGAGGATAAAAATCATTTGGTGCAGTTGGCTCTGCTCATAAGAAACGCTTTTTTGGTATCTAGCAGAATACATAGTGTAGAGGGGAAGGATATTTTCGACATTGGTGAAAGATATGCTTGTTCGACTCACTTCAGAAAGGAGGAGGTTAACAAGTGTGACTCCAAGGAAGAGGAGGGCCGCTGGCACAACCATCCGTATGGTTTTCACGCCACTCGATTGCAGTGCTGCAAATAACAGAAAAAGAGTAAGATTATGAAAGAACACGCTTACTGATCAAACGGCTTCCTATTGAAGCTGGACATTCTTGGTGATGAATCTGAAGAAGTTTTGCAGCAACTTCGAACAGCATGCAGGTCCACACGCAGGAGGTGGGTTCACACACAGTTGAAGTTAAGACGAGAAAGTTCTGGAACTGTGAGCGCATCTGATCTCCAAGGCTTCCCTGCGAAATGAAAATGACTGTAGAGGTTTGTGAGCCTTCCTTGTACCTACTATTTCGCTGCTTGCTCCAAGCCTTCCGAAAGCTAGTAAAGGCGCCAGCAAGGATGCCATTGGAAGAGCCAAGGCAAGGAAGTGCTGCACAACGAGGCCGATCACAGCATCAGGGACAGCTGACGTTCCCAAGCGAATTGGTTCAGAAACATCTGTGGCCACCAGCATGATCTTCCGTTTGGACTTCCGACAGGCAGAATCTTCAAACACAGATAAACATGATAAGCCAAATTCGAAACATTGTGAGATGGTTTGGATCAGGATACTTGAGAGGCTCACCGGAATCCTGAGGATAAGTACCATGGCAGCGGCTCTTGCCCCAGCAAGTCCTGAGAGTTTGGACAGTACTGCGGAGACCTCGCCCGATGTTCCTGAGAACAGTTGAAAGGGCATCGGCAGCTACTTCGAGCATCAATGAAAGGGTATTGAATCCTTGAAGAGCTGCGTAAGGCTTGCTGCATTAGGCAAAGAAGCATTTTATAGAGAAGATGGGGGCCACGATCGGTGAACCTCCCAAAGCCCTCCTGAAATGAAGACCACTTCAAGATTGCCCCAACAAGCAACATCGCTAAAATGAGCAGAAGTCTCACCTATTGAAACTGCCAAGCTGGAGAATGCAAGCAGCCCATACAGCAGGGGCTGAATCAGCTCTTGCAGCAGATATTGATCAAGGACTGGCCATGAACTGGAGGGTACACTTAGATTTGACCTGCAACTCAGATTGTCTGATTGCTTGGTTGCAGAGCATGACGGCGATTGAAATCCCTCTGTACTTCTCTCTTTACTTCTTTTTCCCCTTGAGAACCCAGCGTGCGGCTTTCGCAAAGCATCTGAGAGCCAAAACCCCCTCAAACAGTGGGGGCTATAGGGCAGACTGCTCCAATGCGCACGATTATACGCACCACCCAACGCTTTTGGCTGTCTCTCTCGTGATTGACATTGGCCACATGGATGAGTTGCTTTCAGGGGTTTCGCGAGAAGGTCCGTGCACCCCATTGCATCGACTTGGTGGAAGCCTCTAAGGCTCTTCGCTTCTCAGAAATGCAGCTCAACATGGCCCACTCATGGGCACACTGCTTGATCCGCCCAGTGCTGACTCAGGAGTGTCACCACCGCACAAGCTAGAGGGCGCTGATGCCCGCTGATGAATGCAATGCAAGAGGAAGTATCAAAACGTCCAGCATCCACTGCCACTGCCAGGTGACCAAACACTGCGCACAAAGTCGGCAAATTTGATAGTTTTCGACGTTCGTAGTTAGTCGAAAACAGAGGTTCTCTGCTTAACGAGAACCTCTTAACCCGAAACGCGGCTTTATATCTGTGAGAGCCTGCACGAGCCGACTTTGCCTACTACACTTTCTCCTCTCACTTCATCAATTCGCAGTGCTTCGCACTGCGCTCATCTATTATCGTTCTCGTTAATAGCTGAGAACATGCCTTGTCCGTGCATGGCGCAGGGGGAAGTGCCCACATGCTCTTCCTCTTGATCACCAGACAAGGATGTCCATGCAGTCCTAGTACTAGTACTACCTAGTAGGCTAGAGCAGAGTCCTGATCGAGAGAGTTGACAAAGCCAGTTCAGGATTTCGCACTTGGCCATCAAGCCGAATGTGAGGGTTCGAGAGCCTGTTGTGAAAGGGTGCTGATGACCAATGCTATGGCAGCGGGCCTGCTGCGTCAGAGCCATGGCCATTGCGGGTTTGCAAGGCAATCAAGCAGTTTCCAGGAGCACCCACAAGTCTCGTTTGGAAGTTGCGAAAGCATTGGTGGAGAAGCTGCAATGCTATTGAAGGAGAGCCATACCAAGTTGCCCGTAACATCGGTCAGAAGCATGGTGCTCCACCAGATGGGAAAGAATACGACATTTGGTCACATTGGCGCCTGTGCTGGTTTGAAGAAGACGGATCTGTCTGAGTTGCCAGCAGCTGTGTCTTCAAGTGGTGGTGCTTGCCGCTTCGGTTCACAGAAAGCCAGGTTTGGTGGCAGTTCGTATAGGTTGGTTCGATGGGTGTGTGCCAGCACTGGGGGCACAGATGCAGTAGAAGTTGGGGATCAGTGCTCGGACGGGCAGTCTGTTGAATTGGACGGACAACCCCAGCGCTTCGTGTTGCACGACCTGATGCACAACGATGGGGTCAGTGTTGAATACTCCAAGGTGAGTTCTGCTCGACCACTTAAGATGAGCAAGCCCTTCCGTTCTTAATCTGAACCCCCAGCTTTGTCTACTTAACAGAAGCTCGAAGATACTGTGGATCGGTGTCTATCAAAGCCTTCTGGATCAGGCTCAGTGTCTTTATAAATTTACCCCACTCTTCCAGCAAGCTGCAGCTTGGGACGGTTGTAACATTGTCACAACAATGTCATGAAAGTCAAACATCCTGGTTTGCTCTCACATGGTAAGCTCAGCCATGTCTCTCTCCTCTATGTAGGCAGCAAGGGCCAACTTTGCGGTTGAAGCAGCCCGTGCTATCACAAACGACCCCACATTAGACCTTGCCCGAGCGGCGCTTGAGATTGCGGCGGAGGACGACGCGTTGGTCTCACATTCTGTGGTCCCGCTGCCCGTGGAGTCGTATCTGTCGCGTTTGGACGTGATGGCTGCCGAGGTCGCCAATCACCATCTGCCCACAAGCGCGGAGGAACGAACACCGCGGGCTGTCTTTGACGCTCTTAACAAGTATTTGTTTGTATACCAGGTTAGCTATCCTCAGGCCTTGATCTGTTTGGTAAACATTCATGCCTTCGTCACCACTACCACCATCATTTGAAACAAAGCTTCTAAAGACATATACTTGTAAGGGGCGGTGGAGTGCTTGAGCGTTTCACTCGTCATGCACTTTCTACTGCTTGTAGAGGCGAACAATGAAAGGTCATTGTTGACAAAATCTGCCATTCCTGCAGGGGTTCAAGCGAGCTCAGATGAGGACCAGGGATGATCCGAGGGAGTCCTACTTGAATGGGGTAGGTCTTTTTCTCCATGTGCGGCCTTTTTGGCACAGATTAACCTGGAGAAAGTTAACAAGAAGTTGGTGTCAGGTTCCGATCAATTACTTGTCTCATGACACCGCCTGCTTCGAAAAGCGATGCTGGCCGGCTCAAAGGCAAGGCTATTGCTCGAACAGACTTGCGGAATTCAGGCAAAACCTCCTACATACATTCAGAAAGAAAATCGGCGCCCCAGGTATGTTAGGCGCAAGGCTTGGGGTGCTTCCAGGTGGGCAGCTTGTTGCATGCAGCTGACGCTTCTGTCTTTCTGCCGATCAGGTCCTTACACGACGAGTTGGTACTTCGATGATGCTGGCCCTCATCTACAGCGACATTGCCCAGCGGCTCTTGCGGTGGGGGTTCATCGACTTCCAAGTCCAGATGCAGCTGCCCTCAGACCCCATCACTCTCCCGCAGCCGCAGGCCGTCCGGGATGACGGTGAGCCACGTTCCTGGTTGACCTCCCACTGCCACGCGCCCTGCTTGCTTCGAAAATGACGTCAGATGACGAAGTTTGCCGAATGTGGAAACAAAGTGAGGCGCAACGACTTCGGAACAAGGTCAAACTTCCGAAGATACGGAATGGATCCAAACGGAACGACTGCACCGGGATCGTCCGTAGGGTAATTCCGGGTGTTTAGGATCTTCTTGCCAGGTATTTTCATCGCTGGAGAAATGGCTCATCCACTGACAAAAGACTTTGCGATATGACAGTCGTGATAGATGGCAAGGACAAATCAGAGTCGCCTTGCATCAATCTAGATTCCATTGTGGCACCAACTGCAAGAGCATTCATCTTGCCCAGGTGCTGAAGGCGCTTCCCCCAACGAGGACAACGAGTTCGACTTGGACCCCGACTTGGTATTGCGGGGAGAGGCCGTGATGCTGACGCCCGTGCTGCTCTTGGCCGAGGTAAAGACGCTCGTATTGCGGCTGGGTTTCAGTAATTTCGTCATGGGCGTTTCTCGATGATGGCCGAAGCTCGGACGAGGCGCCCTCATGTTTCCTACTCTTCTCCTGCTCCTAACGCGTTCTAAATGTCAGAAGCGTGTGAATAACCGATACTGATCGACCGCCTCCCTGGTTCGTTCTAGTCCCATAAGTTGTGACTCGTCATCGGCCGTGTGCATCGCATTCTGGACGCTGTTGCTTTTCTGAGCCTGTTGCTCTTCGTTCCCAGGTGCTGACTGCTCTCAAGCGTGCCTACTGGCCCTGGCGATGGCACCGCACCAACAGTACGGGAAGTGGGTTTCTCGAAGCTGCAGAGGCGGCAGCGCGGGGGGGCGAAGGAGCGCAGCTGGGGGCGGGCCTTCTGGATAACTCGGAAGCGGGTCGGGGATCGGGTGCAGAAATAGCAGCGGCACGGTCGGCCAAGTAAGTGCGAGCGCAGCGCACATCTATAGCACGACGTGCTCAAGGTGTTCGCTCCTCGGTTGTCGGGGTGCTCCGCTTTCTTGTAGAAAATACTCACAAAGAGTGACTGGCGGCGTAGACTACAAAGCCTGAGTTGAGGGGCAAAGGTCGGCATGCGAATAAACAGTGTTGGCTGAACCCCCAACCTGTTTAAAGCCTTTCTCTTAGGTCGGCACATGCTGTCTCCTGTGGCTAAGTCAAGGTTCTGTGTACGAGGTCCGCCGCTCTTCCACGACATGTCTCCAGCTTTGCGTTCTTCGCGTCAGGTACCGGCTGAAGCGCGGGATCTGGACGTCGGTGGGGGCGGGCGACCTGCGGCGCGCGCTGGCTGCGTCGGAGCGGCTGTGCCTGCTGGGGCTGGACAACAAGGACCTGCGCGACTACGGGGTGCTGCTCTTCCACTGCGGCCAGTACAAGCAGGCCTACCACTTCCTCGAAACGTACCAAGCTCGGGAGGTGAGATGCCCCATCTGATGCGGGTCGGTCGTGGAATGTGGCGCCGTCGTTGTCGAATTGGACGCTCAAGGTATGCAAAGCTCAGGCAAACGGTTGATATGGGTAAACGTTTCAGCAGCTGAGAGGTTTGCTGGGCAGCGTTCGGAGCATTCCAAAAAGGGTCAAAGCACCCCCAGAAAACGTACGTGACTCTGGTGCGGTTGGAGCAAGAGTGTGGCGGAGTTAGCATTTAGCAGTTTGTGACATTGAGACACGCATGCCGAGACTTCAAATACGGCCCAACGACGTTCTTGCAACACCCAGCAGAGCAGCTTCATGACCTTTTATCGCATTCACCCGACTTCATGCCAGGACTTCTTTAAGCGTTCTTCAAGCCCCATTTTGTCTTGCAGGGCACGGCGGGCGTGCCTTCTTTGTTCAATCCTTTGGCAGCCCGTGAAGGGGCTGCGTTGCGGGCTTTGATGGAGCGGCTGACGCTCATCTTGGCCGAAAGGGCCTGGTATGCCCCCGCAGCACCAGAGCCCAAGGAGCCGCCGGCAGACCCATGGTGATACATGGGTGCTAAGCCGTTTGTTAGGTGATTCATAGGTGTCAGCAAAGCTCTGGACGCTGGTCTCGTCGGCAAGTCCTGTACAAATGCATCAGCCCGTATGGCTGTACTCAGAAGTGTTGCTCACCTGTGACAATCCGTGAAAGCTTGGTTCACTCACACCGTCTCTCGATTGCTTCTGCAGTGAAAAAATCGTAGTTGCTGTGATGTCTCGCTGACTTGAGATCTATGGAGTGTTCTTCAGACACATGATCTATACTAGTAGGCGGCGGCAGTCACTAAAATTGATTTCCTCAACATGCGGTGTGGGATGCACGATCACGCTATGCTATGATCATTTGAGTCAGGGTCTCTCCACCAAGAGCTCTCATGGTGGATGCAAATGTGACCCTAGGGTCACATTTGCATCTTATGTCATCGACCAGAGATAGGCGAAAAATCCGTGCATGTGCGAACTACCTCTATATCTAGCTACGCGTGTGCATATTTTAGATGAATGATCAGCTATTACACGATCACAGCATACACAGTGCGATATTTAAGGTCTCAGGCAAGGACACAGGACACGAACATTTGAGAGAATATGACATTCAAAATGTTGACATCATCAAATTCGTTGGACGCGGAGGCCCGCCAGAAGCCGGGACTTTGCGGAATTCGGTCATAGGTTAAAATTTTGACGTTCACCAACGTATTTCATTGACATCAATGGGTACATATGCGACGTAATCAATCATTCCGCTGATTCGGTGTGCGGTTGCACCTCAGATCAGGCCGGATGGCGCTGGCTTGCTCCTGCCAAAAATAGGTGCGGCAGCCTTCTCTTACCGCTATGTCTTCCTTCACGTGCACAAAGTAAGGGCCACAGTGTACAAACATCCAACAGGCGTTCAACAAGCCAAGAGTACGTGTGCTTTATAATAGCTCGCCAAAATTCATCTGTCGACTCAACAAACAACCCAAGCAGAGTAGACCATCGCAACCGCCACAGCGAATCTTGAATACTTGAATACACTATATGCAAGAAGACTTGACGTCTGATAGTTAACCTGGGCTGAAGGTCCTCATTGCTCCTCGAGCTTGGCCTCATAACCATTCTCTTTTGGTGCAAACTTAAGCTGTCCAGGACCACCGGGGTGAAAGCTCTTTGTGGGTGCACCACTTGCATCAACAAGAGGCCCACCTGCATGCGCCCAAGCAAGGAGGGCACCTTCGAGATTCTTGACCTGCAAAAGGGCAACAAGATCTACCTTTCATAGAGGATCTCAAATGGGTTCAACCTATGGAACTTGATTGACCAAGAAATGTGTCCTTTTTTTCCAAATCTGGCGGAGACTCCTTTCAAAATGTTAAAAGCAGCCATTGTCTTGCTTGTCCTGGATTCTGCCAAGCTGACTTGAACCAACTATTGGCTCAACAGCCAATATCATACTGACCTCACCTTCAAGTCTGGATGTGTATCCTTGATCTGCTTAGCCAGATTGCCTCCTCTTGCGCCCAGGGCGCAGTGAGTGACGACCAGGTCCTTCCCGGCTGCAAGCTTCTCTCCATCCCGCAAGAACTCCTCCTTTGTTACAGCTCCTGGGATTGTGGATATGGCTCTCTCTGCAGTATAGGAGGAGGCTGGACATAAGCCTTGTGGAGTCTGCAGATTGACTGGATTGACAGCCTTGCCTGATTGATCATCAACCATCAGCGAAACAAGGAGTGACCAACATCATGAGGAAGGAGTACTTTAATATGATGCTGAAGATCATACACAGGCTCACCTTGGAGCTTGCTGAAACTCCGATCGGACCCTTTCATCTCTAGAATTCGCTGACGCCCCTGGAATTAGGATGCTGACACAAATTTCTATGGTGGCCAAAGAAACTGAACGCTTACCTCCATCACTCCTTGCATCAACAAACAGAACAGATTCAGGGCTGAGAGAGAGTGCCTCTGCTGGCGTCAGGTCTTCCACATTGGGAAACGAGTCCGCCTTTTTGGCCCGATACGTTCCAATCACTCCGTCCAGCCGCTCTTTGTCATTCCCATACTCCGCCGCCATTGCCCTTCAGCTAAAAGCGGAACTACTGCCACTAGTGGCCCCCTAGTGGCTTTCTTGGGATTGTCAGCGTCAGCCGAAATCTTGAGCAAACGTGTTGATTCAATGTCACCCTCGTCGTTTCTTCAACCATGAGAGAGGTTGACTACTGGTGACATCGTTCAAGGTGAAGGCAACGCAGCCAGATGCGGAGCACCTGATCACGAAATTTGGGCAGTCCTGGGCAATCCCTTCGATTCTGACCTGTTCGAAAGCGTGCGTGCGCCGTGCAGTGAGCACCGTGACCTTTCCGATAAGTAAGTTCATCATGCCCGAGGCGACGCGCGGCCGCCTTGTGCCGGGAGGCGACGCGCGGCCGCCTTGTGCCGGACGGCGCGGCCGCGCCTCGGCAAAGGCGCGCCGGCGGGCCGCCAGCTCGATATAGGTATCGCCATGTGCACATGCAGGCAGAGCATGGCAGAGCATGACTCGATGTCATTGATGAGGTAGCTAACTTAGCGCTTCTGGATATCATGAGCCCATTGTCATCGTTTCCCTGGGAACGGTGACCTCTTTCTGCGAGCTCGCCAAGGGGGAGGGGCTAAAACTACGCAGCTTCAGATCTAATATCCCTCCTGTGGATGGCGATCGTTTAGGTAGATTGGTGTCGCTGTGCTCGTCCCGGATTTTGCAAGTGATCAGCCCGGTGTGGCAAGCTTTAATTTGTTTTGTGCAAGTGGGCCAGATTGTGCAAGGAGCGTGCGCTGTGGTACTTTCCAGACTTCGGACCCAGAAACGGACGGAGCTCAGAGCCTGCGCGAAAGTTGCTCAAGAGTTCCTCTGCCATCAGGGCACGAGGCTGGTTATTGTTTCGTTGAGGATGGGGGCGAAGAAGTATGGCCTTTCTCCTCATTTGAGGCATCAAGCTTTCGTCCCCCCCAGCAGAAAACTTAGCTGCACCGAACTTGCCGGAGTGATCTTGGGCTGCACCAACTCTACAGAGTCAGATTGTCTACGCAAGGGCCTTTTCGGTGGGTCTGCGGTCTCGTGGACTGCCTAAGCCATGTTAAAAAGCATCTCATGTCTGATATTCACGTGTTTGTTCTGACTACGGTGGTTGTCCACAATCAACCCAGACGGCCAGTCGACACTTTATCTGTTGTTCAAGGAGTGCTCAAGATAGACAAAGCTGTGCATACCATGTAACAATGCTGTGTCCTCCATAAAGAAAGGTTGCCTCTGTCAAGACAAAGGTCGCTAGAGTCCCTGGCATTGACATTGTGGTGCCTTTTCTTCAGGTCTCCCCTCTAATCACTATAGTTATGTCCGCCTTATAACTCCGGGGCTGCCGCTCTTTCTTTTCAACTACCAAAGCCGAACCTTGAGCGGGGTTTTCCGTGCGACCAGCAATGGTGGCCTTGAGATTGACAGAACTGCTTGGAGTGGCAACAACTTCTCTGCAACTCGGTTTCCCGCTCAGGTGAGAGAGCCGGAGGCCTTTTGTTTGCCGCATTGGTAACGTGCTTCAAAGACTGCACATTCCGGTCGCTCAGTTCGGTGAACAGACTTGCACAGATGGTCTGTAAGCTTTAAGGGGGTCCTCTCTTCAATCTGCTTCTACAGGGACAGCCCCCCAAATTCACGGGTCTTCGAGAAGGCAACGTCGTTGTCCATGTTGATGTCCATACTTCTATGCTTGCTTGCTGCAGGTCCAAGTGCAGCTATGGGAGCAGTGCCCTGTTCTCACCGAGGAGGTGTTTGGGCCAATCCTGCAGGCGAACTATTACACCAACGGAAAGTTCCTATTTGAGTTAGACACAGTTCAGACGCAAAGCCTTCTAGCTGAGTTTGGCCTGACAGACAGCCCCCCTACCGTCGCCCCAGCTCCCCCCTTGCTCTCTCCGCCGCTGGTTCCTGCAGCACCCTGTCCGCTGGTTGTGAACCCTGTCACCTACTTCCAGCCGGCGGCTTATACATATCCTTACTTAACACCAGCTCCATACCCTTACTACACCGCTCCATTCAGTGTGCTTCCTTCGCTCAGCCCCATCCCCGTTTACAGCCCTCCAGTGCAAGCCCCAGCAGTCTGTATTGCGCCCACCGCTTCCCTTCCAGCAGCAGGCCCTGCGTTTGACATTGGCGTCCTTATGGCAGGCCAAAATGCCTCTCACCAGGTGCGTCTTGGTATCCTTCTATTCCTGTGTAGCTGTCTGATGATTGCCCCATGTCATGGACCAGGACCTCTGGGGACTTGTCATGCTCGTCCGTGCAGTTTTCTCCCACCTCTGGTCCTCGGCGTGTTCTCCTTAATACTGCTTATTCAATTTTCAAGATCTTTTATGTTTCGCCGTGCGTTCGACAGAATCAACGCCACCTCCTGTGGGATCAATTTTACGCAATGATGCAACTAAATCAAGCACGCTTCTTCTACTTTGGCAGAGCACTGCAAAACGGCGGCGCGTCTCCAAAACGACGAACGGCGCTCCCTCTGCTTTAATAGCTCCGCAATCGTTCTCGTTCCTCCAAGCCTCCGAGGCAGGGGGCGCCCTGGCTTGGGAAGAGTGCTGGGGCGAAAGGCCGTCGTCGGCCGTCGCAACGGTGCTGGAGAATTTCTATGGGCGGCTCCAGGCCAGGGCTTCACAGTTCTATGAGCAGAGCTACCGAGACAAAATCGTGATTAAGCTGCTCGGCTTGGGGGGCTCTGTCGGGGGCGAGGAAGCTGTACTGCGAGAGCTGGTCCAGGAGGAGGTGGGGAAGGCGCACCTGACCTGCTGTGCGCTGGTGAGAGAAGTCAAGGCGGCCGCGCTGACCGAAGGGCTTGCGGCGCTTGAGGGGTTGCCGCTCGAGCACTCGGCCATGGTGCAGCAACGGAGAAGAGCTCTGCAAGATGGCCTGGCGCGGTTTGAAGCGAGCGGGCTGGCATACGTAGAGCGGGCGAAGGAGAAGGGGCGGACAGTGATCTTTACGAGCAATTCGCACTACCTGCAGGACAGCGTGGGCAAGGCGAGGACACGGTTACGGCAGCGGTTTGGGGCCCCTGCAACGGCAGAGCTAGAACGGGCGGAGGGGTTGCAAATCAAAGTGGGCGCCTATTGGAAGGTGCTGCTGAAGCGGCTGGCGGACGAGATTCCCATCGAGCTCAAGTACACGCTGCAGCAGGAGCTCAAGCTGAGCCCCGATCTCTTTGGCTGCTCGGACCAGGGATTGGATGCAGTCGGGACGGCCGCAAGTGGGCAGCCTGCGAGGCGCAGAAAACGGAAACGGTAGTCCATGCGGAAGGCTCTCTGGTCAGTAAATAGCTGGCCCTGTCTGTCGAAAGTTGTTGGGGTAAAAAAGGAATGGTGGCGGTTTCTCATGAATCGCCACTCGTGACGCTGGCTGACTGCGGTCACTGGTCAAAGCCTCGTTGGCCGCAGGCAATATTCGTGAGTCCGTGCAAACGAGCACGAGATCTAATCTTTTGTGTCCTGACACGGTGTCGTAGTATTTCGTGTCCGTTGAATACCTTCCTTCCAAATTTTTGGGAGGAACTCGTGTGAAGACCAACGGGTCTACATGACGGGCCGACGTATTTCAAACTAATTTGAATGATACTTAGTCGATTTGTAGACTTGGAGATCATATACAAATACTATGACTGCGCCGAGGGCTGTAACACCCGCATTTGCGGTTTCATGCAGATTGTCGGAGCTTGCTGCAGCTAGCTGATATGATAACAATTCCATGCCAAAGAAGGTCCCGTGCTACATTCCACCCGAGCCTGGCCCAGCCTGGCCTGACTTCTTGTAAAGATAACATGCTGCTTCCTGCATGAACTTGCAACTTTCGTGCTTGCAATGAGACTAGCCCGATGTATATTATAGTCATGTCATACTAAGTACACATCATGCAAAACGTACACACGTACATATACATTTTGGCAATTATGCGGGCAATAGACGAATCAAATCTGCATGCGGCCCATGGCAGCATGACCGTCCATATGAAGCTTGATGGTCTCTTAATCCGGCCTCGATCGTAATGACGGGAATGTCGGAATCCAAAACTCCTTGGGCATAGTCTGTAAGCAACAGCTGATTGCGCCCTACTGCACCAGTCGCATAATATCGATCAGATATGCACTATGTATGCATGTCACGCGGTTGCATGCAAGCACAACTGTCCACTACCTGGTCTGGCCCGTAATTTGATTAAGAAGCTTTTGACGAGCATGTCAAATCTTTCAACCCCGCTGGCCTCGAGTACACGCCTGTACAAAAGGACATTGTGCGCTTCATTGGCCACCATGGAGTCCTTTCAGAAGCGGTGCACTATTCCTTCACCTAGTTCGAGTGTAGAGCAGACTTACAGCGAAATAGCAGAACAACACAATCCTTCCACTAAAGTTCAGTGCTTCCTGTACAATATCCCGAATCTTTCTATGCCGGTCCTGGCCGTCCAAAGTCCGCCAGATCGACGATCTCAAAGTGCATTCTCATGCCAACCTTTCCCCCTTCACAGTAGCCCCTCTCAAAGACCTCGAAGCCACTGTTCGCACCAGCAGCCGCTGCTTCTGCGCGCAGGGTCGCCAGCATGCGGTCCTTCTCCTCCCCTATCCATGGCCGCCGCCTCTCTTCCCACTGCCGGGGGGTTCCATGTAGGCCGATCGTAAGAGGATTCCTTGCCCCCCTCCGCACCACGTTGCTCAGCTTTTGCGGGTCGGTAAGGTATGCGCCGGGACAGATGAGCCCGACGTCGACATAGTGTACTTCGGTGATGCTCTCGAGGAAGGCCTCCGCTCCGCTGAAACCCTCCCCAGAGGACTTCGCCCCTCCAGACGAACTCGTATATGAGCGCACCTTCCCCACGGTATTAGATTCTCGCCCACTGGCGCCGCTTGCTGGCCGGCGGTCCTCCAGAGCGGCTATCTCTGCAAGGATCTCGTTCAGCACGACCCCACCCTTGGAGAAGCCCATGACGAAAGTGGGCAACGCGGAAGCGGAGGGTGCCGAAACGCCGGGAACGGACGTCTCCGTATGTCCCACCGGCAGTCCGGCTGCTGACCGGCCCGCTTCATTGTTCGCAGACGCTTCCTCGTTCCCCCCTTGGGTCCCCTCAGGGAAGGCCGAAATTTGTCGGAGGGCGTCCTGGAGCAGGGCCCCCAGCTGCCGCGCAGCCATGGGGTCTTTCCCATCGAAGCCCAGGGGTTCGCCGGTGCGGCTAGTGGCGGGGAGCATGCTGGTGTAGCACGCCCAGATGCGGTCCTGGTACATGGAGGGGTACACAATGAACAGGTTTGACCCCGGGTCTAACTTTGGGAGGAGAGTCGCCGCGACGCCCTCCCCGGTGTTAAGCCGCTCAATCAGGGCGTCTCCGTCGCCGTCAACGTAGTCCCCAACAAAGTACAGAGCGTTCTGAGTGGCAGCCTGCGAGAGGGACATGCGACATGAAGTCAGCATACAAGCAGACTGGCGATCACGATGTGTGCACCAGTTTAGGCAAGTTAGGAGTTTTGAGGGAGTGTCCAGAGCGAGTCATAAGTTGAAAGTGTCCCTGTCCACAAGCTCGAGAAAGTCAGACTCTAGAAACCGGCTTTGTACCAAGACGCAGGAATGGCTACAGTCGGCATGATTCATATTTGACCACAGACATCATTCTCAACTAGGTTTGGGCATCGAGCACAGATTGGAACACACTTCCTGCACGTCACTTGTTCTGCCTAGCGCTGCACTGACACCCATATGTCCATCTCTTGATGGTCAGAGCCTTCAAAAGACCTAGCTTTAGAAAGGGTGTGAGGGTAAGACCCAAACCTGGCCTTTGGGGACAGAGTAGTAGACGCGGTTGATTTGACCGTTGTGCCCCTTAGCGTTCAGGTACCCCTCTGACCGCACGGGGGACTTGGTGTCACTGGCTGCTTCTTTAACCGCTGCCTGGGCCATCGGGGCAGCGACTGGCTTGCCGCTTGTCACCCTCTGTCTTAGAAGGCTGGAGTGCTGATCCTTCATAGTTTGTTGAGCTAGAGCATCACTGATCGCCTGTCTGCTTTCCAAGACGACAGCTTGAGAGCTACCACCAGTCCATGGCCCGCTCAGCAAAGACGCTGCCAGGATGCCACTCCATACAGTGCGGCTCCAGGATCTCAAAGGAAAAGAGCACGCTCTGATAGCCCTGGGGGCTTCTACATGGGCAAAGATTCGAGGAGCAGTCGCTGGTAGGGAGGTAGATCTATAACCAGAGAGCAGGTTGCTGAAGTGCCCATTTGAGGCTCTCTTCAAGTGGACTTCCCACATGCTAAAAAGGTTGAGGCCGCTGTCAAAGCTAAGAATCCTGAGAAAGCTTGGGCGTATGTCTGTACCTCAATCAATGCATGGGCATGTCCCTGGTCAGAACGGCGCTCTATCGACTCCACATTCTACAATGCTGCTAGAAGCCTACTTGCCGGTCAACCCTCAGATGGTGAGGGTCGAGAAGAGAGTTCGCAGAAACTGGAAGCTTGTGAAGCTGAACAGCAAGAAGCCAAGGATCCAAACCACAAGAAACAGAGAACAGAAGAAGCTACAGAGGTCAATGCTAAGAAGGATGATGTATCTGACAAAGCCGAACATTGCACCACCCCATCAGGCTCCTGCAAGCACCTTGGCCTGCGCGCATGGCCAGCTTCTTGTATGTCCTGCATTCATCACCCATGTGCAGCAGTGCATTGCTCAGACGTGCGTCAATGAGTGCCTTCTAGAGTGCCCATGGTGTGTTGACCGAAGCCAAAGAAGGGTTCGTGTGCAGTTGTTCCCCCAATGCCTGTATTATTATACCGTATGGCAAGCTTGAACGCTTGCTCTTGATTAAATATGCTATCGAATCCAATCCTCCTGGCAGTGGTGGCGCCCCTCCAACATGATGATCATCCGGCCCAGGCTGGCACACTGACTCTGCGTTCCAAGTCATCCACTCTCACTCA